TGGCTCTGTAAACACTGTAAACACTTTTCTTCAAGTGTTTATTTCGCCAAACTCCTTTATGAAGCTTTCCGAAGGCACTATATGCCTTTGCTAACCTGTTGTCTATCTCTCCATCAATCTTACCATCTGAGGAGATGAAGCTACCTAGGTAATTAAACTGCTGGACTGATTTGAGTTCTGATTCGCCAATGGTGATATGGGGATGATGGAAGACGTCCTGAGGTGCTGGTTGATAGAGAACTTCTGTCTTCTTTAAGCTGACTTCCAGTCCAAAGAGCTCAGCAGCGTCTGCAAAGCAGGATGTTAAACGCTGCAGAGTTGCTTCTGTGTGTACAACAAGGGCAGCATCATCAGCATAAAGCAGCTCCCGGACAAGATGGTTTCAGGTCTTAGTGTGGGCCTTCAATCGCCTTAGGTTGAAAAGGCTTCCATCAGTATGGTATCGAATGTAGATACCGTCCTGATCCTCGAGGTCTGCCGTGGTCCTTTGGGGCATCATGCTGAAAAAGACTGTGAATAGGGTTGGTGCAAGAACGCAGCCTTGTTTCACACCATTGGTTATTAGAAAGGGTTCAGAAAGTGCATTGCCATAACTGACTTGGCCGTGTTGATCCAGAAAACAAGATTAAATAAGGCCCTGGAATACCACCACCACCACTCAAACAAAACCAGCCACTGCTTAAAGACTATTGACAAACTCAAACCGGAAATGAACCCTTCCAAATGTATCAACAGAGCCAAATAGATATTCCTTGACAGACTGTACTCAGACTGTTAACCTTCCTCTCTTTCATTAGTCTTGACTCATGGATCAGCACAGGTAACACCCAGTTTCCCTAAACTGTTTTGCAATGCAGCTTTTCTTATTTCATAATCTCACATACCAGATTTGGAGAGCAGATCGTGCACTAGCCACATAACATTATTTTAACTGTTTCATTTTCTTACAAGCCAGCTTGGGTTTGGCAAAATGGGGTAACCATAATCAAAATGGGCTGAACCAACTGGAACAATTTCTGTTGCATGTACAGTGACTTGAAACAGAACAGACAGATTCAACTCCCTTGTAGGAAACACTCAGATGCTACCCAAGACAGTGGGCTAAAACAGTTGAATACAAGTAATAAGAAATGCTGCAGGAATAGGTCAATAGATATGCTAGTCAACAGACACTTAGCAACAGAATGCCTTTACACGCAAATTAGGTCCAGTCTCTTGACCTTCCTTGTAGTATCTTATCCTTACCACTGGAAAAGCAGGTAGGAGAATCAAATTGCAAAAGTAGTAAAGAACATGTGTAAATTAATAAGACGACATTTATAGCTTTAGTAGGATCTAAAGGTATCTCCATTACAAGGTTTTCCTGCCAGGCAGAAGTCACTATGAATGAACTCAACTTTATCCATACCATATGGTTATTGCGACAGGACTGAACCCCAAAGCACAAAATGAAATGTTAGTTATCTTAAGATGTGCATTTTTCTGAAAGCTACACCTATATCTTCTTCCTGCAAGTTAACAGCATTAATTCACTGGGAAATATTTCTTTAAAGTTGTCCAGACATTACTGATCAAGTACCTTTCGAATTGGGCATCTTCAGCTTGGCTATTAGTCACATTTATGTAAAGCAAAACTGCAGTGCATAATTAATAATACTCAAATGAATTGCCAATGATGCCCTGTTCCGTATTTTCGAGCACTTAGGCACACCTCCTCCCCCATGCTCTATTTGATGGAACACAGACAGCACTTTTCAAAACTTTGCTTTGTTTAACCTTTCATTTTGCCAGTATCAAGTGCCCCAAACTATCAGCACAACTCACACTAACCACAACAAACTGAAAGCATCCTCTTCCCACACTGAAGTCTATTTGCATCTTTGGAATACTCCCTCTATACAGTCAAAATCAATGTGTAAGGTACTGTGCTGGTCTGCTCAACAAACAGCTTCATGAGACAGCCTATGAATTCCCCAAGGAATTGTCTAGATTTGATGTAAGTAGAAGAGCAACCAAAACCAACTCATAAATTACTATCCTTTATTATTAGTAATGATATTATTTAGAGAAAAATAGGTGTGTAAATAGAGCATAATTTCCCATTAGATGGGTCAAAACTTTCCGTTTGAAGCAAACTTTCTAGAATAGAAGTTCAATTTTGGCCATGAAAAGAAACTCATTTTCTTTTCTGTGGTCACCACAAGAGGAAAAAACCAAATCAAAGCAACAAAAACCAAACCAACAATAACTCCAGCAACAAAACAAGATCAGAACATACCCCAGAAACTTCTTATTGGGATAAACGCCAAAGAGTAAATATTTCATGATATCATCTCATCTATCTTAACTGTGAGACAAATTTTCATTAACATTTTAAATATATGAATGCATTGGGTATGCATGGTGAGGTTTTGATAGTGGGGAGAGCTACAAGGGTGTTTTCTGCGAGAAGCTGCTAGAAGCTTTTCCTATGTCTATGGAGCCAATGCCAGCTGGCTCCAAGGTCAAGCCCACCAGCAACAGGAGTAATGCCTCTAGGATAACATATTTAAGATGGGTTAAAGTTATTGCATTGATGCAACTGAAGAGAAGAGAGGAGCGAAAATATGTTAGAGAAACAACTCTGCAGACACTAGGGTCAGTGCAGGAGGAGGGGGAGGAGGTGCTAGAGGTGCCAGAGCAGGTATCTCCCTGCAGCCTGCGGGGAAGACCACGATGAGGCAGCTGTGCCCCTGCAGCCCATGGAGGTCCATAAGGGAGCAGATATCCACCCGCAGGATGTGGAGGACCCCATGCCAGAGCAGGTGGATGATCAAAGATGGCTGTGACCCCATGGGATGCCCATGTTGAAGCAGTCTCCTTGCAAGACCTGTGGACCCATAGAGAGAGAAGCCTATTTTGGAATAGGTTTGCTGGCAGTACTTGTGACCTCATGGGGGATCCACGCTGAAACAGCCTGTTCCTGAAGGACTGCACCTTGTGGAAGGCACCCATGCTGGAGCAGCTAGTGAAGAATTGGAGACCATGGGAAGAACACACTTCAGAGAAGGCTGTGGAAGACTGTCTTCCACGGGAGAGACCCCCCACCAGAGCAGGGGAAGGAGTCCTCCCCTTGAGGAGGAAGGAGTGGCAGAGACAATATGTGATGAACTGACCACAGCCCCCATTCCTCATTCCCCTGAACTGCTGCAGGGAGGAGGTAGAGAGAACTGGAAATTAAGTTAATCCTGGGAAAAAAAGGGAGGGACAGGGGAAGGAGTTCAGAAATTCTGGTTTTATTTCTTATTACCCTGTACTGATTTGATTATGAACTAAATTAATTTCACAAGTTGAGTCTGTTTTGTCCATGACGGTGACTGGTGAGTGATCTCTCCCTGTCCTTATCTCGACCCAAGAGACTTTTTTTATATTTTCTCTCCCCGGCCCAGCTGAGGAAGGGAGCAATAAAGTAGTCTTGGCAGGCATCTGGTATCCAGCCACTATAATGAAGAATAACTTTTCTTGCAGGAAATAATATACAATAACAGAGACAATGTGTTTTCCTGAAGATAAATACTGACATCATAAGGCACCATACAGGACAACACTAAAAGCCCCCAGTTATCTCCTGATCAGTTCTTTGCTTACAGATCTCTTTGGAGTCTTTAGAGTTCTTCATGGAGGGAAAGGATTTGCAGATTGCACTATCTGATGAAAACCAAAACAGTACTCAGTATTTTTCTGGAGAATTGGGGAAACCTTACCAAATAGGTTTGAGAGTTCAGAAAAATAAGAAATCAACAATAGCAACAAATTTCTTTAGAAGACTGTTAGATGACTTCAGGAATGATGTGGTAGGATAGTGTATGTGGGAGAAAGATAAATGATCTAGGACTGGGATCCCTCCCAATCTCATCCCATGAAAGACAGTTTGATACACAGATGTCAATGTACACACACTGAGGCTTTGCTCTGTTATTTACAAAATTAGGACGGGTTATGTGCAAACACAGTAGGAAGACTATTAAAGGGATACCAGGTGTATATGCCTCCAAAAACTTGCAACAGAGCACTGAACAAAAAAGTTTATCTGCATTCTTAGTAACTTTAAAGTGGAAATGAAGCGTGCATGTGGAAACTTGATGAGAAAACAATTAACATCAGTTTGCCTTCTCCAAGCTCAGGCCCTCAAGGAAAAACAATACAAGCAATAAATTCCTCGACTCTTTATTTTCTAACCAAAGAAGGCTAGGTAAACAAAATTCATTAAAACAAATAAATTAACAGATAAACTATAATTTTCTATTTTATGATAACCACCTGAGTAAAGGTGGTGGCAGCCACAAGTTCTGAGCTCTGGACTACAGCATGAGTCACGACTGCGGGCCTGAGCTAGAGAGGAGAGCATGTAAAGCAATCCTATCCCCTTACGACCTTTTTGTTCTTGGCTGGAGAAGTGATTTTCTTGGGACACTAACTGTATTTAACCAGCATCTTTGCCAAAACACAAACAGATCTTTACCTCGAAGGCCCCAACACGTTTAGTTTTTTTTTTTTTTCCCTTTAAACTAAAGACCAAAATAACATGACTTTAATAGGAGACCTCGACTCAAAAAACTAAGGTCCGCAAACACAAACACGACCGTCATCGTCCATCAAAGCTTCAGCCGCGATCGCGGTGGCAAAACCCGGTCCGAGAGGCAGAGACGTGCCCGCCGTGCGATCCCGGGAGCGCAGCGCCCGAAGGGCCGCCCGGGGCACACGGGGCGTTTAACGCGGCCAGGGAGGAGGGGGCGAGGAGGGACCACCTCGGGAACTGAGACAAAGCGACCCCGAGCATGAGGCGCCGCGGCACCAGCGCTCCCGGCACTGCACAAAGGAAAGACCAACTTTAGGCTGGGCGGCCCTCAGGGGAGGCTCGGCGAGCGGAGCTGGCCCGAGACCCCCCCGGCTGCTCGCGGCCCCCGCAGCTCCGCGGGCTCGCTCGCCGTCCCGCAGCCGTCCCGGGCCCGCGCGCCCACCTTGGCTACCGAAGAGGCTCCACAGCTTGGCGAAGATCAGGCCCATGCCTGGCCCCGGCTTCCACCGAGCCTCCTGGACACCCCGGGCTCAGCCAGGCGGCGGCGGGAGTGGCGGGCGGCAACACCAGCTCCCCCGGATCCCTCCGCAGCGGCCCCGGAGCAGCGGAGTGGGCGGGCGGCGGGAGGGGCGGGCACGCGCCACCGCCCCGCCCCCCAACGGCCGCACGGCGGGGCCGCCCCAGCGCCGGCACGGCACGTGCGTCACTGCTGCGTCACGCGGGGGCGGGCGGGGCAGCGCCTCTGCGGGGCCAGCGGCGCGGAGAGCCCGGCCGTCCGCCCGGGTCTGATGAAAGGCCCGCGGGGCTGGGGCTGGGCACGGTCGGGAGGAGGGAGCCGCCTCGCCTCGCAAGGGAGGGGAGTCGCGGTGCCCGGCGTTGCAACGGGAGGCGCTGGCAGCGCGCCTCGCCCGTCCCCGTGTCCTTCAGCCGGGCAGTGCTGTGGCCGGCCCGCGGCCTCTGCCTTTGACAAGGGTTGCGGGTTTCAAGGCTCACAGTTCTCTCCTGTGTAGTAAAGCGTGTAAAAACAGCTGGGCTCGCTTTCAGTGCTGTACTGCAGGTTCCTGCATACTGAGCTCTTGAGCGGGTACCCGGGTTTTATCACTCAGGAGAGGTCAGTCGGAGAGCACGACCCCTGCTCCACCCTAGACGGGGAATCCACAGGCACTTAGATGCAGGAAGGGTGGAAGAATAAAACGTTATTATAATCCACGCATTTCAGCTTTTTCAGAGGGAAAACAAAAAAAGCGCTCTCAGCAATGTCTTGTCCAATGAGCTCGGGTGCCCCCGGGCTCCGGCCCCGCCCTGTTGCCGCCCTCCCTGTCCCCTAGTGGGGAGCGGGTGCGGCGGCTGCACCTTACTCCCGGCCCCGGCCCGGCGTTCCGGCTCCCATGGCGACTCCGCACAGGCGGGACTGCCTGCGGTCGTCCCGGAGGAGCGGGACCGGCCCGGGCCCGGCGGTAGGTGGGGGGCTGGCGGCGTGTCGGGGTTTGCGCCGGAGGGTCGAACGCGGGGCACCGGCACCGGCACCGGCACCTGTGTGCTCCGCCCTTCTCGTGGTGTCCCAGCTGCCCCTCGGTGTCCGTCGAGGCTGAGGGGGCGGTGGCGGCAGTGGCACCTCCCCCGTACTCCTGGGCTGAGGTGCCTCGCAGGGCGGCGAAGAGCTGTGTGTCCTGTCCTACCCCGTGGTGTTTTCAATAATGGACGGATGGGGAAATAGAGGAGGACGCCCCAAATTCCGGTTCCCACAGCAATGAGCAGACTGACTTTTTCCTCGTGTGTGGAAGGGTGGGGAAGGGAGGTTTGAAAGAGTCGGCATCTCTGGTGCTGACTGCGTTTGACAGCTCGCAGTGTCCATTTGCGTAGTTAGATCAAAGCGCTGGTCCGGCGTCGCGTTCTTCGCTGCAGTTTCCTCCCCACTGAGGCACAGAGAAATCTGCAAGGAGATGGTGAATAGGGAGGGGAGGCTCCCTCAAGGGCTTTCTTCTGAAGTCCGTCAAGCCTTTACTGTGTACGGCACAGCAGGTCTGGGCAAAACAATACCTCTCGCAGGTGTCGAACCTGCCACCTGCTGAACGCTTGAAGTCCGAGTCTTGTAGTTAGAGGGGCACTCAGGCTGTCTCCCTCATCCGCCTGGCTTCCTGTCGTGTCTGAATTTATAAGCTTCTATCCCATCTCAGCTCTGTTCCCCAGACTTGAAGATTGCAAACTGTTTAGTTTTTCCATATTTGAAAGCATTTCATATTTGAAAGCATTTTTTCTAAGTGGCATTGGATCTGTTCTGAGATAATGGCCGCGGAAAGGGCATACATACCCTGCTCAAGCTGAAGGTTATGTGGATGTGCTCTGAACCTCCAGTTGTGTGGTTTTGACATTTCCAGGCAGCTTACAATGATTTTATTCTTTTGAAAGTTCTTTTTAACTGAGGAATTGATTTTCATTTGTGTTGTTCCTCTCCCTGAAATAAGCACATGTGGTATTTGTCATTCTAATGAATGTCTTTAGTCCACATACCTTAGAGTTTCTGTGACAGAGGAGCTGTTCTGCAGTCATGTTTCATACCAGGTCTGATGAACTAGTCACAGTCAAGTTTTAACTTCTCCTGTTGCACATTCTGTAACTTCCTGAAATGTTCATCAGCTGTGGTTAAAAGCATAGATCTGGCATCATGCTTCTGTGTGAGTCTGCCTGTCTATACTGGGGGAATTGAAATCTCCTGGGTACTATTTTTACCCACTGACAGATGCCAGACCCCCCTTCCCAAAACCCTTCTGGGTAACTCCCACCAGATTATATACTGGGCAGACCATTCTGTGGTGTGGAATATCCCTTTGGTCAGCTCGAGTCACCTGTCCCAGCTATGCTCCCTCAAAGTTTCTTTTGCATACTTCATCACTGGCAGAGCATGAGACATGAAAAAAGTCCTTGACTTAGGATAAACACAACTTAGCAAAAAGTCAAAATATCCGTGTGTTATCAACACCATTCTCATTCTAAATCCAAAACACGACACTGTAAGAGCATCTGAGAAGAAATTAACTCTACCCTAGCTGAAACCAGGACAGTGGGACAGGATTTGGAGGTGGTAACACTTCCTTCATATTTCAAACAGTGATACAGTAGCCTTGGAAGGTATGACTTGGAAGGATGTGGCAGCAAGGAAACCAGTAACCTCGCTGTAAGTTGATTGCAAGTGCTAAATATGTTAATGAACATATTCTTCAATGTAATTAATAGTAGTGTTGAGTGCAGTAAAATTGCATTACTAAAACAGAAGAATCAGAAACCTCGGCTCAGGTTGTGAGTACATCTTACGTTACATTTATAAACTTAGAGAATATGATAAGAACCACTATGAAAATATTTTGCTTATTTCCATTCCTTACCAGCAGATTTTATAAAGGAAGATGTCCTTTTTCCCTAAAATCTCTTTCCAGCATGAAGTTGAAGAGTATCTCACCAAAGTGTTCAGAAATAACGAGGTATGTGACATGGATACTACTAATCACCAACAAATAATCAATTTTTTTTTGTAACTAAGACCTTACAATAAAGTAATTGTCCTCACATTAGAAAGAGTTTTTATTAAAACATGTTTATATTTAAAATATAAAATTAATGTTTATGCCCATTGGCTCAAAAGAACATAAATACTTAAATTAAATTTAACACAAATCAGAGAATTCAGTTGATTCCACTGAAGAGAGATTATAAATAATTAACCACTTATTAACCACATAATATTGACAAGACATACTCCTTTACCCCAGTATAGAACCAAAAATACGATAGACAATCCTTTAATTCCTAATGCCAAAGGATAAAATAATTACATTTTTGTATATCAATATGAAAGTTACTAATTCATAGTTTTGAATCTACCCTTCCATTTCCTTAGGACTGCTTTTTGTACAATATCTCTATCACAGAGCAGTTACTTTTGATACTTACTGCAGACTATTTGAAATGATTTTGCTAATACAACTGTTTTTCCAATGAGTACTTTTCAAGAAATTTATGAGGCTTCCAGTGGAATTAGACTTCCAGATACTGACATTTCTCACTATTGCACACCATACACCATATTCCTCCATTTCTATGGAATGTTTATTCAGTGGTGTCCTTTTGCACTGAGCAAGAGGCTGCTGTATGAATCTCTTTAATATAAAATCTCTTCCTTTCAGCTTATTGCTGCTTTAGGTGGACAGGAGGCAGAGAATAAATATCAATCTCTGTTAAGTCGTCTGTCTCATCCACCAAGTTTTACAACTGTAAGAGTTAATACCCACTTGGCCTCAGTGAAACATGCGAAAAAATTGCTGTTTGAAGAGATCCAGAAGGTTTGTGCAATTTCTTTGTTACAACAGAAAGAATAATTCATCTTTTGCCTGATTATGAGAGCTTTTCATTACTGGAAACTACACCTTACCTTAATGCATGTCTGGTAGTATTAACATTATGCAATCATATCAATTTCCTGTCAGCATTAAATGTTAAATGAAAATTCACTGTCTAGCAGTATTCCTCATCTAACCCATCCAAGAAAGGCAATAATAGAGGGAAAAGGCAACCAACTTTTTTCACGTGGCAGATCCAAACCTTAGGATTGAGGTACTACTATAGTAAATGCTGTCAAGGTGTCATAGGTCTATAGAGAAGATGGAAGATAAAAACTATAGTTCAGTATGCTGTCTTCAGCATGTTTAGAACATTTTTTATTTAAGATTAAAGGAGAATGCCTGTATATCTCTGCAGAAACTGTTTAGGAAAGTGAGAAAATCTGTGTGTTTTAGAAACTGGAGACAAAGTGATGCTCTGTAGCTGCTGTATTTTATTTTTTTTTTAACCTGTTTTTAAATTTTGTATAGTTTTGTGGATTTTTACTTACCTTACTTAAACATTTATTTATATGATAATATATAAGCCATTATGTTTAAGAAGTTTATTATTTTGAAACTGTGTCCTAGATCTTCACTCTGTCTGAAAGGATCCAGTTCTTCTTTAAGTAAATTATTAATGCTAGTGGGTGTACAGGGAGCTTTTGCATGACAGGAGCCGAGATGTTTCTGTGATGCAGAGGCAGTTGACAGTTTTCTACTGGCTGGAATGGTAATGAGCTATGCTAATTTTAGCTTGATTGTAGAAATCTGCAAGTGGGTATTGCAGTATGATATTTTGCTTCAAGGGAAAAGGCTTTGCTGAAAACTGACTTAAGACTGGCTTTTCACAAACTTTTTGTATTTTGAAGTGTGATTAGAAAAGGAAGCCACATAACACAGTTTTGAACAAAATTATGGTCATGGATTGTTTTCTTTTTTAAGGGAAAATACTTATTTATCAGAAGCAAACTGATTTATGGTTTGATGTGCTTTAAGGTTATAATTTAGAAGGCTCAGGAGAGAAGACATCATAATCCAGGAACCTTTATAAAATGGCAAGCTGTCATTTTTTTTCAACTATCTTCACAACTCAGCTCTCAGTATCCAAAGTTAAGCTGACAAGAAAAATGAAAAGTAGTGCCAACCTGGCATGTTAAGTGAGACAGACAATACACGAGTAGAGTTACAGTGGTTTTAAACTAATAACATCAAAAAGATAACCCAGATTAGACCCAAGCTTCTCTGGTGGTGTTGCTGTGTTCTGATGACAACTCGACTCAACCTTCTTCGAGAAAAAAGAAAAAGCCAGTGGTAGGGATATGAGTGTCAAAACACTTTCCCACTCCCTGAAATCAGTTCTCAGTCAATCCCTTTGTGGCCTTGTTATTTCTCAGTTTATTAAATGTTTAGACTTTTTACACCAGTATTTTTAATATTGAATGTCCCCTTACACACTATTTCTCACTCATTTTTATCTGTTTTCAATACCTTCGTTTTTTGTGCTCTACAAGTATAAATTATGAATGGAAAAATAGTTTTCAGTCTAATTAAGTATTTAAATATTAAGTTTATTAGCAGTGCCTAATAATTATGTCTTTTGTTAACGAAACAGCAGTTCAAAGGACTATGTGTTCCAGTTCTTGAGCACCCAAAACTCCAGGACATCCTGTTAATTCCTGTCATTGGACCCAGGTTTGAAATTTTCAGTCTTCCACCTTAAAATGTTGTAACACATTTTACTTACAGATTTCTTGTTAAACAGTTGTGATAACTAACTCACTATAACTGAAGCACAACTTCATTTATATTATGACCTCGTGGACCATCATATACTAATCAGGTCAGAGTTTTACTTATTAAAAGATATAGGAAAACATAGAAGGAGTTTTGTGCTTATTTATGAGACTAATGTTTTATAGGGAAAATGTAACATGAGTGCATCCTCCTTGGAAAGCCAGGTAGGTGGCATACAGAAGAGCTGAACTTTTGCAGCGGAATATAGAACTGTAGATAAATATGGGCAGGACTTTTTTACACTGGAAGAACTCAAGTGGAATCAAGAAGTACTGAGAAGTTTTTAAACGCAAAAAAATTACTTTACAATCACCTGGCCTAGAAAGGGATAGAGGATTATTTCTCCATCCCAGTACAATTTTTTTGTATTCCCATGTTAGCTTCTGGCAGAATGTGCCAGAATCTGCATTGTTTTGAGAACTGTTCTTCTTGGCTCTTTCCTTTGACTTCTCTGGGACTAAAATAAATCTTTTACATGTAATACATGATATTTAAGTACTTTTTCTATTATATTCTGACAAAATCAGTATTTATGAACTAGAACTTACTTGGGGAGTATTTGGCTTTTTTTCAGTATACTTTTTTTTAAACTGAACTACATTTTGTATTTCTAGGCGAGACTTAAAAAAACATCCATCTGAAGTAATTGTTGGAGCCCAGTGTGGATATGCAGTACTTCGAGGAGCACACGTTTATGTCCCTGGAATCGTATCTGCCTCAAGATGTAAGAGTTCTCTGAATACACCCAGTTAAGTTGTAAAGCCAACAGAAAAAGTGTCAGCCTTTGATGACAATTTCAAATAAATAGTGACATGAAATTTTTTTCTATTCACAGCTGAAATTAATCTTAGTTGTAATTTATGCTAATTCCTTTTTTAAGGTTTTTCTGGCTTTTTTTTCCTTCCTGAGATTTTCACTATTTTTCATTGTACTTGTAATGAATTAAATGTAATTATTTCTTACCTGGCCTGTTTTAAATTCCTTTTTCCATATGTAATTTCTACCTTAAGTATTAGTTCTCAAGGATTTCACTTTCTTGGTCGCATTTCAAAACCTTTTTAAAGAGCATTTTCAAAGTAAAACATGGCTTTTTAAGAATTTTTTTGAACTAAATACTGTAACTTTTAATATGGATGTTCAGTTGAATAAATTTACAGAGGTTAGCTGCTTTCCAGTCTTGTAAAGAAAACCCAAAAAACACGGGATGCCACATCTGGATGGTGCCTGGATGTATCTTGGTTATTCAGTAGATACTCTTTCCAGATATGTTATTTCTTCATTCAGTCACAAAGCCACTTACCTTCATCATCTTGTCAGATTTTAAGTTACAGATCTATAAAAACCCTAATTTCCTTTTTTTTAATCCATTGAAAATTAATTTGATACTATTTGTGTATGAGAGATCTAGTAAAAATCTTTTTTCATTGATGAGAAAAATCTTCAATTTTAATGTCAGATTCTTAAGAAATGGAAATTATGTTTCAATGCCTGTGAGACAAGATTAAAAAAATCTACATATACATGCTTTGTGTTAAGCAGCCTATTTATTTTTTATTTAAAGGTCAAATTATCTTTATGTAAAACCAGTATAATTTTGGGTGATTCACCTTATTATTCTATTGTGATGAGATCTACTAATCATCATGGTTCTTATTATTAAACAAAGTGAGTCAGGAAAGCATTTACCTAGTCACTTCAATTCTCTTTCAGGAAAAAAAACTTTAAGAAGTTTTGAGCATGTGCTTAAGTCCAATTCATTGAACAGAAATGTTTTTCAATCTAGGACTCAATAATGAAATAAGTATATTGCCTGAGCAGTTGTTGAAGCTGCTTATTTAGACAACGTAATAAATATTCAAATCCTGCTTTGAGTCAGCTAGTGATTTATCATAATTGCTGCATGTAATTATGCATGCAACATCAATTCAAAGAAAAGAAAAGATATTATAAAACTTCAGGAACACTTCAGGGGAATTGCAGATAAGAAAATAAAATTAAAGGGCATGCTACCCACTTGATGCCAAATATAATAAGGCTGTATTAAGCACAGATGGTCTAACTAGGGAAAAAAAAATAGTACAGCAAGAACACATTTAATCACCGAACTTCCAAGCCAAATGAGGGTAAACTAATGATCAGGGGACTTTGAGTTTAATTTAACTAGTCAAACCCTAAGCTTTATGTTTATGGAATGCCAGAATAAGCTACAAAAAGCTTAAGAACTATATACAGTACTAATGCATTTTGAAAGGACAATTGTCAGCAGAGAGTGAAATAAAATCATTTCTGTTTGATTACTGCAAAACATAATTGGCAGATATGCCGTAGGTTTTTGTTCAGTGAAGTTTGATCAGACAGTGAGCTATCACATAATATTTTGTGTCACATTGTGAAAAAAGAAGATATGCAAAAAAAAAATATTTCAGTGTCTACCCAACATTTAAAATTTTCAGGGTATTTGTGCATAATCAGAAGGCCACTTGAAAATGGAAAAAAAAGGATTCCCAAGTGCAATTCAAAGAATTCCTGGGAAGCTGAACTGTCATTAATCTTACTTGTTATACCATCTGGTTCCTCCAGCTTGTCACTCATGTCAGAAATGTAATTCTGGAATATTGTTTATTGCTTTCAGAAGAGACCTTTACTTTTAACATTTTTCATCCAGTCAGTGCACAGAGCTTGCTCACTCTTCTACAAAATCATCTAAACCATCCCCCTTTTCCATCTATTTTTGTTCTAACTCAACAAGTTTTTTAAAGTCTGAATGATTACACTTCTAGTGTTGGGTGCATATTTACATACTTCACTGATCTGGTAGGTTTTAATTGGAGATAAAAAACTCTCTAAGAGGATTATTGAGAACAGCAGTTGCCTTAGAGGGAAGAAAACCAGACTAGAACGAGAATATATAATCACTTGTATTAAAGCAACAGTTAGAGAAAAAGCAGCTGTAGCTATGTTCTACCTAGCTATTGAGAGGTCATTAGACAAATTTAGCATTACTGTCTTTGTTTAGTAAGTGCGAACCGGTCTTGTTTGATATACTCGTGTGCTTGGAGCACATGGAGAGGACTGCATCCTGAAGAGCGTGCTGAAAATTTATGGGTGACCCTGCTGTGATCAAATTAATAAAGTGCATGTTTTGTAACCTCTTAGAAAACAAGGCCCACTATCTGACTTGCAGCTTGGTGTTTCTCAGTAGCTCCAGTCATTTGGTAGCCATCATTTACCACCTAACACTTTAAAGCTTTATATTGGTTAATCTTCGTCTTTGATTACATGAAGAAAGTTTAAAGCTTGATATGATACAGGAGTTGAAGTAAGTAGTCTACTGAAAATCCTAAATTATGTGGTCACTACTATCTTGTTAAGTGTCATGTTGATCTCAGAGTTTCTGTTCTTCTATCTGCAGTTGTGAAAGCTGGAGATCTGGTTTCAGTGTATTCAGATATTGAAGGGAAGTGTAAAAGAGGAGCCAAAGAATTCAAAGGAGTCAAAGTTTTCCTTGGAAATGGGATTTCAGAACTGAGTCGCAGTGAAATCTTCAGTTCAAGCAGCCCACTGAAGTAAGTCCATTGTAACTTCAATCTACACATGCAAATTTGCAAAGGGAAGGAAGAAGCTGGGAAAAGATTTGAAATGTTCTGGACCCTATGTGAAAGCATAAGATGGCCTTGACTGAGACCTATGTTGTATGTTGGGATTTCCAGTATTTTTGGGGAAGCGTTTAGTTTTGTAGTGGTATCCAGATACCAGTTTACATGAGTGGTAGGAGGAAATAAGTGGGAGCTTTTTCATAATTTGTGTACAGCATGTGACTTCAGCAATACAGAACAAACAGAACTGACAAATGTTCTCACTGTGGCAAAATTGCATTTTGGTGAATTATTCTGTGCCATTTCCCTGTTTGGATGGAACAGAAGTCAGCCTTGCCAATTTCTCCATCTTTTAAAAATATCTGTGAGGGCCTTTGTTTTGGTGGGACAGGGGACAGAACATAAGGTCAGATATCTTAAAAAAATTAATAGCATCTGCCAAGATAGTTATCTATTTCAAGATTACTTGCTTTTCTATTTTGTTGCTGAAGCATATGGTTTATTCCTCTCCTGTCATCTAAAACACATATAAAAACTGAATCTGGTGTCTACAAATTTGCTTTCTCATATCCTTCCTTTTCCATGTTGAACTATCCAGTACATATGCAAAATAATACTCATTCTTGTTCTCTTCAGTAATCTTTTGTTTTCAGGCTCAGACTTGCTTTTTCTTGGTTTTCTTTTTCTTGTTGTCAATTTCCTGATACATTTGTTTTAACAATTAAATCTGTGTCAGGATTTCAGCCATATTTAAAACCTCAGGTTGCTTCTAAGTTCAGACCTTTGCTTTGCAGGCAAATCGATGTACCTGTAAGGCTTTTCATATAAGATTTCTGTAGTTATTTGACTGAAACCTCAGATAGTTAACAAAATGGAGGAAAATCTAAGTAGGAAATCATATGCCAGTGCCCTGGTGCATACATGGCTAGCCAAAAGCACTTATGGATTGAAGCTAACATATTTAGAACTGTTTTTATGCATTTCTTTACAGTATCAAGGCTTGGATTAGATCTTGGTTTGTCCTGTGTAGAAAAACATAAATTTGCTTTATGCAATTTTACAGATGATTCCAACTTACAATGTAGTGCATTTTTTGTCATGGTTTACTTAATGATGTCATTTTTAAGAATATCAGATTACAGAAGTATGAAAGTATTTTTATGTCATTTATAAATTCTTTCATTTTTGTAAGATTATTGTTTCAAACTGCTATTTGTAAGCATAACAATTTTAATTGGATACTGTTAAAACTTATAAAACTGAGTAGTTGAAATTTTTTTCATGTTTTTCAGGGGGCTGGGTGTAAGAATGATAGAGCCAGTCTACCTTAGTCCTTCATTTGACAATGTGCTCCCTAGTTATTTGTTTTTACAGGTATGTTTGTACAAAAATAAAAGTCCGTACTATTTACAGAATAATGAATATTGTCTTAGCACACGCTAATTATGTATTCGTTGTGTATTTTAGCATCTAATTCAGTCTTTGGATTTAAGGAAAACAAAGCATTTGGAATGAAGTCAGTATCTATATGTAGGTGGTTTAATCATACTGTGTCTGAGATATGATAAGGGACTTCAAAGTGACTTAAGAGATATTTAAAAATGTAGAAATTCTTTTTGCACAGATACTCTGCATAGAACTATTAGTTTTTGGAATATGCCTATGAACTTTAGTTCGTATTAGTTTTTGGAATCTGCCTCTTTCAGGGTACATAATTCTGCAGACTATCAGGAAAATCTCCAAATATTAGGTTGGCTTTAAGCTGTTATTTAAGTGCTGAAGACAACTTTAAAAGGTTTTTATACCTTTGTGTTGAACTAAGAAGAGAATATTTCCATATTGTCTAAGATGCAATACTGCACACAATTATTGCATGTTATTTCTCTTCGGAGCACCTATTCTGTTTATACGATTAATAGTGCAGTTCAGCTTCTTGGTACTTTAGGTCAGCAAGTTTAAACTTCTGGCTGTTGATCTTACTCTTCTTCAGTGTACTGCATCAGTATATTAATATAGTAAATGTTCCAACAAACAGGTTCATATATTTGTAATAGAGAGAGCTGCTCTGTGTCTGAGACAATATCAGCTTATTTTATTTTGACTTTTAGCACTGTAGTCATGAATTCTTAAACTTCAGTCATAGACACTCATATATAGCTTTAAATAAAAAACTAGCCACTGGAGACTTCTGACCTATACTGTCCTTTTTATATTATGCAAATAGTTAATTTTCTGATAAAGAACTGAGAGCAATATCATAGGTATCTTCACTGCTGAATGAATTGTTTTATTCAATGAGTTTGTCGTTCCTTAGTAAAGGAATCGATGCAGGGTATAAGGTTTGAATTCTCCTGTATTTGTTTTTATGATAGAATTTACCTTCTGTGGTTGTGAGCCACATTTTAAACCCTCAGCCAGGAGAGAAAATTTTGGATATGTGTGCCGCGCCTGGAGGAAAAGCAACCCATCTTGCAACATTAATGCATGACCAGGTAAGGGAAGTCATTGGAAATTTTCTGTCTAAAGAAGAAAGTCTGACCATTGTTCATTTGTACAGCTCCCTTCACTTAGCTGTCAGAATGCACAGATAATTTACAACAGCAAACAATATTTTGACATTCTGCTTACCAATATATTTTGCTACACATCAGAGTTACTGAAATGGGCACAGTCTTTATCAAATAGTCACCATCACATTTAAAACCTTATTTGCTGCAAATTGACTTGTTGAAATATGTTTAATTTCACTTTTAAATGCTATTGATTTACTTTTAATCAAAGAATTTGTAACATGCAAGGCAAACTTATGCAGGAATATGCTGAATTCATAAAACTGAGATACATGAAAATTGGGAGTTACTACTATCTGCAAAAGAAATGCACAACTCTGTACAAAAACATATTAAAAAGTTTCTAATCCAATTAACTTTCTTCTCAGTAAAAATTATCAATTATGCATACAGATATGAATCTGAGACTGAATTTCTAGTCTGAATTTGTCATTCTGTGGTAGAATGTCACAAATCCAAAACTATCTCATGAGAAAGTGACAAAAATGAGAAGCAACAAAACAATACGTAGAGAAAGACAAAGGAAAATAGCACATAATCAAATAAGAATGTAGGAATAAATATTTGCACATATTAAGTTGCTATATGCACAATGAAATACAGAAATGCAGGTTACTCTTTTCTAGCAGAGAGGGGAAAAGCACATAATGTTTCCTCTAAAAATTATGTAAGGTGTTATTATTTTTGTTGGTATAGGGTTACTAGAATATATCAGATCATTTAGAAGTCTTGCAGTTTCATTATGTGGTACTTTGACAGTTGCCTGGGCATTAATGGGAAGTACACTGTTTAATGATATGAATGTATTTAGAAAAGGCACGTATTCAGTTCTGTGGTGGTTTTTTTTTAGAAGTGTTTTCTTCCTGTCGTGGTTTGAATCTTGTTTTCCCCCAGAGGCTAAGAAAAGTGGTAGACCCCAAGGGGTGGAAACACTTCCCTCAAATGGAACATTTGCAAAAGGCATTAGACAGTCATTACACATTTATTAGATAAATATATAAAGCTTCTAGTAAAGAATTTCAGTGTGATAAATAAAGGAAGTCTGGAAATCACATATTTCTGTCATACATTCATTTACATCTATAGTTTTTCCATCTGTGTATGTATCCTTAGCCACTTTACATATTTTGATTGTGCTTACCTCCAGTTGAAGTGGTAAAGAGTAAGAATACAGATGATGAATATTTATCTGAATTGATTTTCCTTTTTTGAGTATATAATTTTAATTTAATATATGGAAAGATAAAGACATTGAAAAAAGCACTGCTTTTTGGTTTTTAAGTTCCATTCACAGATTTTCTATACTGAATTTCTATAGATGGTATATTGAATTATTAACATTTCAGAATATTTGAAACAATCTTACTTTTTTGTTTTATAATTGTAGAAATTAGTGTATTGTTTTAGATGAGATAATCAAGATGTAAAATTACTGCGTTAAGATCTTTTAAATAGGAATTTGGAATAGTTAAAATTTGAGAATTTATTATTATCTCTATCCCCCCTCAGACCACTGTTTTTTTCCAGATGTCTTTTACATAGTTGTTCTGGCAGTGGCTGACATGGGTCACATGGGGAAGAAGTGTTGTCTGCCAGCTCATTCTTTTTTCTGAGTCTCTCAAGATGCAGCCAGAGAGTTTTGGCCAATGGCTCTCATGTCCAGGTGGAGGCCGATGATGAGCAGTGTTCCTCACTGGTCCTTCTTGGCACCGGTGCTCTTTAGTATCTTTATCAATGACAGACAGTGAGATCAAGTTCATCCTCAGCAAATTGGCCAATGACACCAAGCTGAGAGGTGCAGTTGATACACCTGAGGGACAGGATGCCATCCAAAGGGAACTGGACTAGAGAAGTGGGCCCATGGGAGCCTCCTGAGATTCAGCTAGTCCAAGTGCAACCTCCTGCACCTGGGTCCAGGTGATCCTAGAAAGGAAGGCTGAAAGAACTACTCACTGAAAGCAGTCCTGCTGAGTTGGGGGTGCTGGTGATAAGTAGTTGGACATGAGCTGGAAATGTGAACTTGCAGCCCAGAACCAACCATATCCTGGGCTGCATCAAAAGCAGTGGGGGCAGCAGGTGAAGGGAGGGGATTCTGCCCCTCTGCTCTGCTCTGATGAGACACCACCTGGAGTACTGTGTGTGGTTCTGGGGTCCCAGCACAGAAAAGAAGTGGACCTGCTAGAGTGGGTCCAGAGGAGGCCATGAAGGTGATCAGAGGGCTGGAGCAGCTCTACTATGAAGACAGGCTGAAAGAGTTGGAGCTGTTCAGCCTGTTCATTGTGGCCTTCCAGTACTTAAAGAGGGCTTATAAAAAAGAAGAGTGATTTTTACACGAGAAACATAGATATTAGGAGGGAATTCTGTACTCAGAGGGCGGTGAGGTGCTGGAACAGGCTGTCCAGAGAAGCTGTGGATGCCCCATCCCTGGAAGTGTTCAAGGCCAGGTTGGATGGGACTCTGAGCAACCTGGTCTAATGGAAGGTGTCCCTGTCCATGGCAGGGGAAGTTGGAATGAGATGATCTTTTAAGGTCCCTTCCAGCACAAACCATTCTATGATTCTGTGATCTCCTTATATCCACAGTACTGCATATGTGCTGCAAATCCCATTATAGCAACAGACATAACTTTGAAGCACAGTCAGTTCTTAGTGTGCATGTGCAATGGGTTGAATGGTGTTCGGGGAGAAGCAGTGGCACGTGGTTTGTGAGTGCTCCTGTAAGAGGTGATTTGGCTCACAGTACCTGAAGGCTGGACATCATTGATGCAACATATATCCTTTTGTACTTCTCAGTCGTAGACCTACATAATGGCTAATATGACATACAGACAACAGCTACATTATTAGACATGTTACCCTTCCATAAGCCTTTAGAGAGCCATCATAAAGTGGAGAAAAGTTGTCATGTTTCCTCAGCAGATTCTATTTTGCTATAGCAAGTCTAGTAGAGGGTTTTGGTCATTTTTTGTTTTTTGGTTGTTTTTTTTTTTTAAATAGTATTATGGTTCTGGATTTTACTGATGCTGCTGTTTGCTTTCCTTTCTGTTTAGAGGTTTGATGTAGCAGTTAGTGGTTTGTGTCTGTTTTAATTTATCTTGGGAGAGGGAAAGAAACATTTTGATTTCCCTCCCCCCACCTCTCAGTTTATTCTAGTATTTACACTATTTCCCAAAATAAATTGAGTGGCAACTACTGCAAGTATAACAGTATGTTATGAGTCTGAGCAAGTCAGAGGCAGGGCTGTGGGCCTCATTTCCTCAGGACTGACTTGTATGTTGCCGTGTTCGTTACCATCTCCATGCAAATTTAAACCTGTTGACCTGTTTTACCATGTATTTGAGTTTTTACCCTTTTCAAATGATTACATTTTTACTTTAGTGCCCAGTAAAACAGTTCAAAACAAACAAAAAATAAAATAAACAAAAAACCCACTTGCCAAAGTCAGACATTATGGGTCCCTTAGACTGATAGTACCGAGCAGTCAGTGCCAGTCAGAAGGCACACAGCTTCAGACTAGTATCTGGACTAATGTGGGTATCATGGAGACTATGGGCAAACAAGGACTGTAGGAGTGTGGATTTAAGAATAAAATGATTCTGTAGGGAAAACTAAGCTTTATTCATTTCTCTGCTCATGGCTGGGGGGAGAAGGGAAATCAAAAAATGCATATCCATTTAATCCCAATGCTTTTGATGAAAACTTTGGGGTTTTTTTTTTTCAGGGTGAAGTAATAGCCATGGACAAGATAGCTAACAAGGTCAAAAAAGTCAAGCTGAACGCTGAATTGCTACAATTGAATTGCATTAAGGCCTTTTGCTATGATGGAACAAAGGCTCTTTCAGTTGAGAAACGAGAGGATGAACAAGGTAAAATAAACAATTTGGCTTTTAGAAGAAAATAGGAATGTTTTGCACTAATAGTATTAACCCTGCCGCAGGTCTACAAGTCCTTGAAATTTTGGCAGATTCTTAAGTTGCTTCAGCACTTTGAATGTGCTTTTATTTTCTACTCTTTTGTGATTATCAGCTTCTCTATGAAGCAAATACAAAAGTCAAATGATCTGTCCTTATCACAAAATAATGTGCTCAAAGGAAATGCATTCCTTTCCCAGATAATATCAAAGAAAGAAGAAGCCTTAAAGCTTCTTTCATGATCCTATTTAACCCCATACTCTCAATTGTCTGACCTAGTCTGAGAAAAAAGCTATTTGTACAGACTTGCTTGCCTTTCCTGCCTCATAATCCTCATCAGTAAAATTGGGTTATTAATACCTAACTCCCAGGAGTGCTGCAAGGTTTTAGTTCATGCATGTTTGTTCAGCTGTTCAGCGGAAAGTTATATAGAAGCACGGTGTATTATTTTAAGTTCATTTCATTTGCTTTTCTGAAGTGCTGCAGTTATGATACTGGTTCTGTTCCCATGACAGAATGATTTAAATGGTATCTGCTGTCTTGATTATTTTTAGTTTGTTGTGCAAAGTATGCTGTTCTTTCTCACTCTATTTTATCTCAGTCAGTGGTTAGCCTAAGTAGGAATCCGATTGCATAATTCACCTTCTTTGTCCCTATGCCTTGCAGTTATTCCTGCTTTGGAGGAACAAAGATACTTTCTTAATAATCTCTTTACGAACATTAAATATTGTAGGTGGTGTGTAGCAATTACACTGATGAACAAGAGCAAGATGTACCACCCAGAGATCCTGAAGGCTTTTCTGTACATCTCTGCAAGCAAGACATGACATATTTTGAACATTTTAGTAATGGATCAGAGGTAGATAAATCAGATAGACTCATTTTTAGTGCAGGAACAAGCTAGTTAGCAGTAGTATGATAGTAGAAGTATGGGAGCAGTAGTACCTGGAGATACTGAGCTGGACAACCTCTCTAGAACTGAAGAGGTAGAAACTTTTGGGCTGTTGAGCCAGTGGGGTTCAGATTAAAGCAGGCTCTGCGTTAGAAGATACATATTCCCATATCATCCAAGTAGTAGTTAGAAATTGTTCTTGTCTTCTCAATCCTTGTTTATTGAATTGTCCTGCCATGGAGACATCATGTCACACATTAGAACTTGTAATGGTTCATGTTATTATGAAGTGCTTTATTTTCTATGGATATGCATGCATCACAAGAAATAGTTATCATATTGACATTCCAATTATTATTATTTAAGGCAGTCGTAACAATTAACTACAGGTTTCTCTCAGTAAAGGTTTGTTTCAGTTATGAGCTAACGGTGGTTCATCACAGCCTATATGTACAACTCTGTACTCAACATCTCTGACCAATCATATTTCCACTTACTTGTTTGATTACTTTTACATATTACTTTCAAATTACTAAATTAAGTTTAAAAATTATTATTACCTAAAGGGATAATTTCTGAGCTCACAAAACTTAAACTGTTTAGTTTTCTGGGAGATGAAAACTACCACCAGCAGTGCTGAGACTTGTCTCTAGCTGAGACTGCTTTTGCAGACACTGTCTATACTACATTAATGTTTTACATCAAGGAAGCAGTAACAGCTTGTCCTTTTCTGCAGCGAAGTCTCAAGGAAAGAAACACAAATTTTACATTACTATGTGCTTTTTACAGAAGGACCTCCATTCTCACCAGAATCATTTGATCGAATACTTCTTGATGCTCCATGTAGTGGGATGGGACAGAGACCAAACATGGCTTATTCTTCAACTTTAAAGGAAGTGACCTCTTACCAGCCACTACAGCGGAAGCTTTTCACTGTGGTATGTATTAAACACTGAGTAGATAAGCTAAATTGAACATAAATGCTTCTGCAGCATAAAACTTCATACTGAAAAAATGGTGCCTTATTTTCCCTACTTTTTCAGCAGCTAAGAAGTGTAACCTCTCAGCTCCACCATATCTATTGCTAGGTGAAGTCAATTCATTGGAGCATGGGAAAGGTATATGTAATACATAGTAAATAAAAACCTTTGTGTTTTTTTAAATCCCTCAGTTTCATCACTTTTAGTTTATAATAATTGCAAGGGTCTAAGTCACAGAGAAAGTTTCTTAGGAGCCTGCTGAGGAGTGTGCTTGGGCTGATGCTGAAAGATAAAATTTAATGCAACTTGTCTAAATCTGAATGACACCTCCTTTTTTTATAAAACCTCCATTATTCTTTATTGGACATAGGCAGGAATATGGTTATCAAAGATGAGGAAAAGGCTGAGGTATTTAACACCTTCTTTACCTCAATTTTCAACAGTAAGGGTTGTCCTGAGGACAGCTGGCTTCTAAAGTGTAGACAGAGCTAAGAAGCTGAATAGCTCCCCTGTAATCCAGAAGGAAACAGATAGTGACCTGCTGAGCCACTTGGATCCCCACAAGTCTATGGGACCAGATGGGATCCACCCAAGGGTGATGAGGGAGCTGGCAGAAGAGCTCGCCAAGCCACTCTCCATCATTTACCAGCAGTCCTGGCTCACTGGGGAGGTCCCAGATGATTGGAAGTTGGAGAATGTCACGCCCATCCACAGAAAGGGCCAGAAGGAGGACCCAGGAAACTACAGGCCCATCAGCCTGATCTCAGTGCCTGGCAAGGTTGTGGAGCAGATCATCCTAAGTGCAATCACACAGCACCTACAGGATGGACATTGGATCAGACCCAGCCAGCATGGATTTAGGAAGGGCAGGTCCTGTCTGACCCATGTGATCTCCTTTTATGATCAGGTGACCTGCCTGGTGGATGAGGGGAAGGCTGTGGATGTGGTCTATCTGGGCTTCAGCAAAGCCTTTGACACTGTCTCCTACAGCATTCTCCTGAAAAAGCTGGCAGCCCAGCTTGGACGGGGCACTCTCTGATGGGTTAGGAACTGGCTGAAGGGCCGGGCCCAGAGCGTGGTGGTGAACAGTGCTGCATCCAGTTGGCGGCCGGTCACTGGTGGTGTCCCCCAGGGATCAGTGTTGGGCCCAGTTCTGTTTAATATCTTTATTGATGATTTAGATGAGAGGATTGAGTCCACCATCAGCAAATTTGCAGATGACACTAAGCTGGGGGGGAGTGCCAATCAGCTGGAAGGCAGGAGGGCTCTGCAGAGGGACCTGGACAGGCTGGAGAGTTGGGCTGATTCCAACGGGATAAGGTTCAACAAGGCCAAGTGCCGGGTCCTGCACTTTGGCCACAACAACCCCTGCAGCGCTACAGGCTGGGGACAGAGTGGCTGGAGAGCAGCCAGGCAGAAAGGGACCTGGGAGTTTGGATTGACAGGAAGCTGAACAGGAGCCAGCAGTGTGCCCAGGTGGCCAAGAAGGCCAAGGGAATCCTGGGCTGTATCAGGAACGGTGTGGCCAACAGGTCCAGGGAAGTGATTCTGCCCCTGTACTCAGCACTGGTGAGGCCACACCTGGAGTGCTGTGTCCAGTTCTGGGCCCCTCAGTTCAGGAAGGATATTCAGGTACTGGAGCAGGTCCAGAGAAGAGCAAGGAGGCTGGTGAAGGGACTTGAGCGCAAGTCCTATGAGGAGAGGCTGAGGAAGCTGGAGTTGTTCAGTGTGGAGAAGAGGAGGCTCAGGGGAAACCTCATCACTCTCTACAACTCCCTGAAAGGAGGTCGTAGCCAGGTGGGGGTTGGTCTCTTCTCCCAGACAGCTATCAGTAAGACAAGAGTTCATGGTCTTAAGCTGTGCCAGGGGAGGTTTAGGTTAGATATTAGGAAGAAATTCTTTTACAGAGAGGGTAATCAGGCATTGGAATGGGCTGCCCAGGGAAGTGGTGGATTCTCTGTCCCTGGCGGTTTTTAAGATGAGACTGGATGTGGCACTTAGTGCCATGGTCTGGTAATCATGGTGGTAGTGGATCAAGGGTTGGACTTGATGATCTTGGAGGTCCCTTCCAACCCTTCTATGATTCTATGATTCTATGACACATATTCAAAGTGAACTACAGCTTGGAAAGCAGCATAGATATAGCTTCCATGCCAAATATGTGGAAACAGTTGACATCTAATATAATTGATAAAAGTATTGTGTATCCATGGTTGACAGCAGGTGGTGAAAACAGACCTACTAATCTGTCTGGGATATGCAGAGCTGTATAAATAACAACTCTTACAAGGTGAATCATCTCAATGGCATTAATAAACTGCCTGAGCTATAATGCCTGGTTAGAAAGAAGAACCTTTCTAATCCGTGGGATCCTTTACTGTATTCCCTGAGAAGAATTAGTATCCTAATGCCTCTCTTAGAGAGATTTGAGTTTAATTAAGTGCTAAGTTTTAATATTATAGCTTAATGGATTCTTGCTTAATGTTGCTTAATATGAAAGTTTTTACATTTAAAAATAAGCTGTACTATTGATTATTCTCCTTGCAGGCAGTGAAGTTGCTGAAGCCAGGAGGTGTTTTAGTATACAGTACATGTACGATTACACTTTCTGAAAATGAAGAGCAAGTTGCTTGGGCCCTGAAAAGATTTCCATACCTCCAGCTTCATCCACAGGTAATAGTATTTTTAGGGTACTTCACGCAATCTAATGAGCTTGTTTTGGAACTGTAAAGTTACACACTATATTTACTATCAATAAATCTCTTTTTCACTGTGGACAGTTTTAACTGCTGTGGATAAAAATAACGTGAGGATTTCAGCTTTTTTAAAATCTAATTTTGTACTTAATTGAGCTTCATTTAGGGATCATTAAGTAGTTTCCCACTGTGTATTGTGGTTATTTTGATTTGTGCAACAGTCTTTTAAAACACAACAGGGACGAAATATAGTTCAGACAGATTGTCTTGCAGTTGTTCTTAGTGCATATATTTTATTCTCTTCTTTTGCACATTGATAGGAAAGGTGAAAATTATTTTATTAATGCCACTGAAGTCGTGACGACATACATAAAGGATGGGACATAAGTGAAAATAAACTTGTGTTTTGAGGAAGGAGGATTTTATATGTATGGATGCTATTTTTGCTTTATTTAAAGGAATGAGGGAACAAATTTATTTCGGGCTAGAATTTTTTATCTATACCACATACTCTGTACAGTTAAAAAATATCTGTTACCTTTATTAGTACTTTGAGGGAGTCTGTCCCTCCCACTGTATGCATCCCTCTTCCTCTGATGATGTGATGAGCTGGGTGGGGTAGTTGTTTATCGTCATGGCTTTAAGGAAAAATCTACCTCCAATCCCTGTTTAGCTTACTTATACATTCTGTGATGACTTGTACCTGTCTTATGAAGTTTAGATGAACCTTTTAACTGAAATTAACAAAATATATACAACAAGTATACAATAAGAAATTATATGAAGACTGGTAAAGATTTAACAGAATTGAAGCTCTTCTTCAACGATTTGTTTGTTCTGTTCTTCTGTCTGCTTTCTCCCCATCCATTTACTAGGAATTTTTCAGTTCCAGCCATTTCAACTAAGATTATACATTTTACCTAACAATATAAAAAAAATTCTCCCTGATAGAATTACAAAGTGAAACACAAGCCCTATTAACTCAAATGCAAGATTAATTCCGGTTTAATAGACTTTCTCTCACCTGTAATATCAGTCTTAAATAAAGCACTGTTCTTCACACACAAACGCCATAAGAATAAATTTTTTGTGAATAGTATATTTTAAATTAAATGACACTGAATTGTTTACCCATAGATAGTTTCTAGTACCTTATAACCAGTTCTCCAATAGTGTAAAGTAAGGTGATATTTTCCAATGAACAGGAACCTGGAGTCTAAGGTCTACTTACCTCATGTTCCTTTATGTATTTATTTCCTATGTTCTTTAGTCACTTATTGGACACCTCCTTTTATACCCAGTCCACTGTTTCCCCATTTCTCAGTTTGGCAATAGATCCTGGAATCATGTTGGGTAAGATGAGTAAGGAAAGAACAGGAGATGGAGCCACAGGTGTCGTTCTCATAGGTGGAAGTTACCACGTCGCAGCTGATCCTTTGTGCAGACTTACTTCCTCGTAGGTGTTACACAGGAGATACTGTAGATCAGCTTAAATGCAGTAACTTAACTGGAAGGAAAAATGAAAAGGCATACGAAAACACTGGTCTTTCTTTGAGCAAGTTGCTTGAACCTGTGCAGTACTGTTTTTCATAGATTTCTACCTTTCCATCCTTCTACTGCATTACTTCAAGTTGCTACCCTTGTCTCCCTTTGTATGTTATTTTTCTCTCAATTTGCAATAGACACCTCTTTTTGTCTTTTACCTGGAAAACATTGAAATCCTATTGAGGGGAAGGAAAAGAAAAATCAGGCTGCAACCTCTTGGCTGTCCAGCTTTACTGCACACAATATGTGGTTAAAAGCAGCTAACTCACATCATGTGCTGACTGGGTGAGATCATGTGTTTGCAAAGTGTGATGACTGACAAAATGCTCTGCTGCAGGCTGCATTATAGACTACATTAGACTAGATGGACAAAGGAGATCTACTTTTGATATTGCAGTGCCAGCTTTTGTACATTTTTTCTATTCCTTAATGAATGCATTGAAAGCAAATCCAGCTAAGAATTAGATTTCTTCCAGGAGTGTATTAAATAAAAAACAGTCAAGGCTACTCACAAGAAACACTGAGAAAAGGGCTGTGATTTTAAACCCTTCTCCTCTCCAGGATTGTGATGCCAAATGTCATCTCCTGAATTCATATACCTAAGTGTTGCTTTCTTTTTTTCTCTGCCTCATAGACATACACATGTAACAGTGGTCCCATTAGTCTTATTACATGACATATAAAAAATCTGAAGTTCAGATTTTTCTGCTGCATCATTTGCCAGAATGATGCTTCCTCAGGCAATAAAGTATTCTGGACTGGGGCTTTCAGTCTCTGCAGTTCAAGTTTTCAATGTGAAGAATCCAGGTATTTCTACTACTGTTACTGAGTATATTAGTAATGGGCTAAGGAATGACTATTTTTGACTTAACTAATAGCTATTAGTCAGTACACAGCTATTAGTCAGTACACAGAAGTGCTACATCATTTAAAAGTGGCAATCTAAAACCTTTGGACCAGCTGTCTGGTGATAACAGCTTTCTTGTGATGTTTCAGTCCTTTGAGTAATGAATTGATTTAGACCTGTGTACTCATCATCAGTAAGTGCTCTAAGCAACGGGTTGAAGTGGGTGAGGGGCACCACCACTTCCTCAAAGTACTCTGAACCTTGTATATATGTTTGTATAATATTGGCCAGATGAAGGCAAGAAAAGAAGGCCACATTACTTCTGAATCCCACCTGGTGTAAATGATACAAACCTAGCTTTTCCACATTACCAGTTAAGTATTCTGCATATACTCAGCAGAATACATATAAGGCCTTTAAGAATTTTACAGATGCAATAATTTGCTTTTCTTTGTTACTTGAACAGGAACCTCACATTGGAGGAGAAGGCATGAAGGGAGCTGGACTGACACTTGATCAGTTGAAGCTGCTGCAGAGGTTTGATCCAGCTGCTGTGACATTGGAAGGAATGGATATTAATTCTTTGCAAGATTCCAGAGAAGATGACCTGATCTCATTGGCAAATAAGGACTGTATAGGATTTTTCATTGCAAAATTTATTAAATCGAAGAGTAAATAAGGATCTGGGAATGCAACCTGAAAAAATACCTCAGTGAGTCCAAGAACAGTTGAGACGTGAAGTGCGTTTCTTCCTGCTGCAATGTTACCAAGCCAACGGACTGACGGCAGGGTTGCTATGGCAGCAGTAAAATCTGCCAGCTGTTCTGATGGGAAAGAGCCACAGGTTGCAGCAAGAAAGTCATGGTTGGGGGAAGGGTAGTATCATTTTTAAGTCTTCCTTCGCTTTTGTATTTACAGCAGGTCAGTGCCTGAATGACAAGTATGTTCACTCATACTGGTGTTGCTTATCTGGTGCAGCAAGCATAGGAAGGGGATGTAAACTACTTTATGAAATGAAAACATAAATAAAATAAATGGGAGCTATTATAATGAATTTTTGAAAAGGAAGTTTCTATGGAGGTTTACTGATAGTTAATGTTTCATTAAATAGTGCTTCACAAAACACTGTAACGTGTTACAAAGAACTGTTTTATAAATTGATACTTAGAACCTCATTTCTCTTTTATTTTAATACAAGCAAGATTCTCTGTACACATAGTATATACACAAAATACGATTAGGCTTTGTAGCATGTCTTTTATAGCAGCATGAATATATTAAACCATCTCACTCTGGGAATGTAAATAAATATTGTTTCAACATCAAACTTCCCATGCATAAACTGTATTGGTTCTGAAATAGGCTACTGGACTGGCTGACAAGTGACAATTTTAAAATCAAACATTTGCAACAGAAGGGGCTACAGTTGTGATTAATATATTAAAAGACAGAAAACAATGCATAATACCATCTGAAATGTTGCAAATCACCTTTCAAAGAACTAAGAATATTAACTCTTTATTGGTTAGAAAGCATCACCAGCTAAAATCGTGTGAAAATTGAAAATGGAGAAGCATGCTAATGAGAACTGCCTTAATACATTGCTCAAAGATTTAATAACCTGAATTTCTTAAAGATGTTAGCTGTATTTGAAAATTCTGCTTCAGTTCCAGTTTGAACAGGATTCTCTTTTCTCAGACCTGCTGGAACTGACAATAGCACTAAAATTAGAAGGAAAGGTAAGTACAATTCAAAAACGTAAACTGACATCTGTGTGTGTTTGTTTCTTTCCTCTCTCTCATCAATTTCCAGTTTTAAAAAACATTATCTGAAAAATGTCTGTTTTTTCACACATAACTATTTGTTGGATTAAAAAGAGCAATAGTTCTTTTATCATTTGTCTTTCTGCTGTCAGAAGTGCATTTGTATTTGCTTGCAATCAAAACAATCTATAGATTTGTTTCTCAGTAGTCTGGTTGTTTACTTACATTTTCTATAAATGTTTTGGTACCATGTTTTCTACTCTTCTAAAATAAAAAACAAATGTCTCCTGTTCTGCCAGGGTTGACTAGTATATCCTCTGTAAGTCCTATCTCAGAAGGATAGGAGGATGGAATTCTTGTGTACTACTCTGCTTTTGTTGGTCACTCCTTGCCATTAAACACAACATATCTAAAGAAGATTTAAAGTAATTTTGTTTCATCAGTAGTAGGTGAGATATCCTATGTAGAATCATGAAAGCTTGTACTATAAATTACAGTCTTTTTAGTCTAAATATGGCTAAAATAATTACCTGGTAACAAATTGTTAGTATGTGTTGAAATCTTTAACTCAGTGCTAGTAAAAAAGCATTTTCTTTTTTGCAGAATATATAAATTTTGTAAACATTAATCAGCACACATAGACTATATACTGAAGTTTGTATATTTATATAAAGTAAGGAACTTTACCTCCAGTTTCAATAGCAGGATTTGTGCAATGCAGAATTTGAAGGAATTAAGATTGCTGAATTTTTAGTGGAAGATTTGTTGAGACTTTCCCAGATTTCTTAAGTTTTGGATGATAAACCGGCTTTTCAAGAAGGTGACCTCACTTGATTTTATATGAGAAATTTCTTGGGGGTGAGGAGTGGGAAGAAAAAGTAGCTAACTTCTATTTGATTCCAGTGTAATTGCAGACCAGACTTCAGCTGAAAAAAATTACTGATAGATGAACTTTAACTAATAGGTTTGTTTCTGCAAAAGTCAACTGCTAGACTTAAAAGAGTATTCAGCATATTAAAGGGATAAGCCTCAGCTCTTTCCACGAGGCTGCTTTCCTTGTTGTAGTTGGGGAGAGACTTCGTCATGCAGTTCAGAACAGAAAGTCAGTTGAGATGCTCCAAATCATACCTTGAAGGAGCCAGCATCCTTTCTCTGACTACAGGTTTGGCTAATTTAGATGACTAAAGTTCGATGGATGCCCTTTTTTTTTTTTTCTCCTTTTCCAATCTTACTGTGACTTTAACTAGAAGTGTAGGAATGCTTTCTCATTGACACATTTCTGATGTATAGTGTATATATGTTTTAAATACATAATAGGATTAGTTTCCTATAAGAATCTTTACACACTGAATAATTATACTTCAGTGATTGGTGCTGAAGCACAGCTGAATATATATATATATATGTGCTTATATATACTATATGAGATATTTATATAATAAATTTAAAAAGTTATTGTTCTTGTCATTGTAATGAAAGATTAATCCTACAAAATAGATTAGGCATGCAATCAGATCCTGTCTGTAAGAAAGTCTGAAAAGTAGTTTTCTCTATCTGCAGAAAGAGTGATTAGTAATAGTGCCAAATCTAAATATTCATCTTGGTCAATATAAAGATACTAAAATAGGCAGCCTCATATATTATGAAATTATTATACAGCTTTTTCCTGTTTCAGTGTTATGGAATGCACCATTTTTTGGATCACAGGATTTCATATGTTTTTTAAGGTAAGGGGAATATTTTAGTAAAAAATAGGCTGGTGATGGCGATCAACAAGAAATTACTTTGGAGTGGGTAGTTTAAAATATAAAGAACCTTCTTTTTATGTTTGATTGTTCATGACTAAAAAGTTTATGAAGAAATCCAATTTTGTACTGCATGATAGCATGATAGATAAAAGTGGCAAGAATAAAGTAAGAAATGAGAACATGGATGAGTTAGAAGAACCGGCTTAATCTCTATTATATCTGATATAAATCTTTTTTGAGTTTGCGTAGGAACACATTTCTAGGGCGGTAAGTTATAAAAAGAAACTGTCTATAAAACTACTGTAAGCTCATATGTAACAGTTTGTTATATAAAAGTGGGGAAATAAATTACAGACAAATTGCCAAGCAATAAATTTGATTGAATCACATTTGATTAAAAACATTCACAGTAAAAATGGCATCTGTATTTTACAGATGATAGAAGAACTAAAATTTTGGTGAAAAATCTGCAATAAAGTAATAAATATAAGTAAATGTACACCAGAAATGTTATATTACACTCTGAAAAATAATTTCTCTGTTTTCCTTTAGACTATGTAATCAAGTTTTTTGCAATGTGCTTGATTTTCATGGATGGAGAAGAATTTAAGTCAAAAACATTTGGGAAATAGCTTTCAGCCTGATGTGTTAAAGCAATCAGAGGTCAAACATAACCACAGACCAAAAGAAATCTTGAAGAGTCTTTAGTAACTAACAAACACAGGAGGTGGTTTACACCAATTTTTTTACTTTGAACAGACATTGATTAAAAGCAGTCAGACCACTCCCTTCATTCCAGCTGAGGGAATCATAGTGGACCCCATTAAAACCTTTGCAGGCGTCACAGAACATGAGCATGACTTTACAACAGAGCTTAAAAATTACATTTACTAACAAACTCATAAAAGACAGGAAGTGTTAAGGGGCAGGGTATTAGACCTGGGCAGGAACTGCATGTATAGGAAGAGTAACCAGGTATGCAGGGAGAAGTAAGAATGGGTCTTTACTTTTATGCAGGGTTTAGTGAGTGGAATTCATTTCCTTATCCTCCATTTATAATAAGGGCTATAGGTTTAGAGTTTACAGATTTCTGTGAAGAGAAATGCTCCACTGAAACTCTCTGTGGCTTTAAAACTGATCTTCATTAAATAGGTCCAAAGCCTTAATTTTATACATTGAGAAGCAAAAGTTACAGAACTCTCTTCAAATTCTGAACTCCGGATGCCAGACACAGAATATGAATTCATGAGCATTCTAGAAGAATTCTTTAAATTCTAGGCAATAATTTATGGATTGATTTAATAAAAATAGTTACTTTCAGCTCTTAACTCCTACTGATGCTGCCTCTGTGCACAAAACTCTTTTCTTATTCTTCCCCACTATCCTGTCCTTTAGCTGGTCTGGAGACTGTTACTGTCACCTCCTTCCAGTCCCTCCTCAAGAATTCTTTCTTCCATGATGTCTGTGTGACACTAAACAACTGGTAAAAATAGACTCAGGCTACTCAGCACTGATGTATATTCATTTGAAAAAAACCACACAAAAATAAGATTCACGTCTAACATATATACATGCAAATTTGGAAATGCATCGCATTCCTTCCATGTACTGAAATTCTTTAGAAAAATATAGAGTTAGAGCTGCCAAGACTTACATATCACTTAACTATTTTATCTTCCTCCCCTTTCCTTTTGTTCCACTGATTTTATTGTATTTTAGCTCATTTGAATAGAAATTTTACAGGTTGTTTCGTACCACACATACATAAGAAGACTCTGGAGCTCACTGGGACCTCTACCATTTCTCAGATTCAAAACCCTGAAACCAGATATAGAAATACAAACTCATTAGTATCCTAATGCAAACAATAATATTAAACTTTCTATTGGCAAAACTTTGCAACGACATTTCATCACAATAACCTTTGATATGTTCTCCAGCTGGAGTATATTTAAAGCTTCTTATTGACATAACTGTTAAAGTGCTTTTCAAAGTAGTGCTCAGCAGGCAGGTGGTATTGTGCAATATATGTAGTACAAGCTCACATTACAAATGATTTCTCACTCTTAAAACAGTAACTGAAGGAAAGTATCTTAGCAAGGCTAATAAAAACCTATTCAGTGAGTCTGTCTAAGAAATATGCGTTTTTGTTAGTACGTTGTCTGTACATAATCAGCAGCACTATACAAAACATGTTTCTATGACTAGCTGGATTGGGACTTGTCCTTTTTTGTGATAAGATGTTTATACTCCATAAATCAATTTATAGGCCATACTTAAATACTAGTGTTTGGACTATGCTCTTTATTTTCTTATGTCTATACATGGCTACCTACTCCATAGTTTTCATATACTACTCAGTGCTTTGAAATTCTGCCAAATATTCCTTAAAAATACTTTAAGAAAGGTGAAAAATAAATACTCTCTGGAGCAAAAGTAAAAACAAACAAAAAAACCCACAAAAAAACCCAAAACCAAACCAAAAACCCAACAGAAAAAGAACAAAATATTCAAGGTATTGAAGTGGAATCACTTCTTAGAGGACATAGCCATCATGAGTTGTAGAGAGCAACAGCATTTACTGAAGCTGGTAAATTAGCTAAAGCCAGGCAATATAGAGCAAGACAATATAACTTCTCTTCCCACTTACACATGATCTGATATGATTCAAACAACAAAGTCTTGCAATGTTATTTTTCACAGATACCCTGAAAATTCTCTTGTATCAAAAGCCACTGTTTGTGTACTCTTATATATCCATTTACTAATACAACAGATCTACTTACCTATTCTTCCTTTGTCTACAAAGTCATATAGTGATGTTTAGAAAAATGATGAGAATTTTATTTCTAGAAAAATAACCCTTTTTCTTGTGTTCCCCATAGTTCATGCTTTGAGCCAAAACCTACCCTTGAATAACCACAAGAGCCAGCAGCACTGGGAGGAATGGCCAGATATCTGACAGCAGAATTTCTTACTCTCAGGTTGTTGTAAAAAATGCTTATAAAGCATCAGGGAGAGGGGTGGGAGAGGGAGAGGAAGGACAGAGTATGTTTAAAGGAGTTAAACTGAATTACTTGGATGCTGAGATAGGAGATTGGAGAAAACATGCACCTGCCATATATCTTATCCATTTCACTAAAATGATATTCAAAATCAGGCAATGCTGATATTCCCAGAATTTAAATAATAAATAAAAAGAACTTCCAGCTAATTTAATTATTATCGCACTACAGTCTTTATATAACGTGCTATTTACAGGGAAATACAAAAAGTATTTCATTCATACAAGTACTACAAAGACTATATGTGATGCAGAACAGCTTTTACACTAGGCAAGGGTATGGAACCTGGAGTCAAAAATAATAGTGAATTTGCCCCCACTTACCAGTGCAACAGGTGTTCAATGCAAAACAAACTGTTCACTCCCTTTGATTTCAATGCATTTTCTCTAGAAAGCTCCTAACAAAGCATTTTGTCACAGTCATTTTTCTATACTCTCACCAGCAGCACAACATCTTAGGTGAAGGAAAAGCAATGAGCTGGCTGCAGAGTGGGAATGCAGAGGAATTGGCAAGTGTAGAAAAAGTGGAGAAGCTACAAAAATTTATTTTCCAACAAAATATCTCTCCACAAGCTGTGTAAACTTTTCTTGCTAAAACAAATACTCTAGAACAAAGATTTTACATTTCCAGTGAAACTCACAGTAACATTTGCCTGTTTTTGCTCTCCCGAAGTCTCAACAAAGAGCCAGCAGATTTCTACTTTCCCAGTTACTTGGGTCAGTAAACTCCCTCATATTCCCTGACTGCAATTTGGATTTTTAAATTAACAGACAGAATGAAGAAGCAGACTTTTTGGGCTGTTGAGTAACCTTTGTTTTCTTCAGTAGATTCTCACACTTCGCTGCCTAATGTGCACACGCACACGTACGCCCATCCACCACCCACCACTCACATACACACCTCCAACATGTGTGCTCTAGTATACTGACAGTAGAACAAAAATTAAGCTGTGCCCATTGCAATCTTGTGACCTGAACAGAGAAGAATAATTTATAGTGGTAAGTCATTATCTTTACCATAACCTTGAAATGCAAAATTGGGTTTGCAAGGACAGCATAAGGTAAAAGAGTTACACCCTTTATCTCAAGCACTCATCCGTATTTACAATAAGTATAAGCTTTCTGCTACAGAAGAAGAAGTATTTAGATTGAACACTGTTACAGATTTCCTAAGTGAGGCTAGTTCCAGTTGCCAGTAATTCAAAAGCAAATCTGTTGACTTGGCATTAGGACTCTAAAACAGTGTGATCAAACTTATATAGTAAGAAGGTGTCTGCAGAAATAACATTTATAAACTGTATATACAGTACACAGTACCAGTACATAGAAAATAGATTTTGACTCCATGATCCCCTGTGTGTAAGGCAAGACAATTCTGTCTTCATATGGAGACCACCAGAGGTACAAGCGACAGAGTGGTGCTTAAATCAATATGCAAATCAAGTGCATACAAATTAAAAATCAGAGCAGACAAAAAGTTTTAGATTCTTTTATGTGCTGATCTTGGCTTGCTGAATACACGGGAAGTTATTAAACATCAAATGTACCTTTTTTTTAAAAAACACTAACAACACCTTGATGGCAACAGATATTGTTCAAGTGGCAGCTACCAAAAACAGCTTGAAAAATGTCATAGTACAACATCAGGAACTCTTCAGTTGTACCACACTAATTCATATAGCACTAACCAAAAAAATAAGTATATGAATATTCTATTTCATGCTATTGCTATGCAAGCAACAGCAATACAAATCAGCATACAGAAGGATACCATGTGTTCTGCAATGAAGAACCCAAAGATATTTTCAAGGGCCATTGTTACAAGACTTCAAAGAAACACAAGACTGCCAGAGGCAAAAGTTACTGACGGATGTAAACATCCCTGTTCCACTCTCCCGCATCATTACGTTTTTTCGATATCACTTCCCCATCCTTGTCACAATATTGGTCCCTTGATTTATGACGACTACGCTGTTTGTTGCATTCATTGTGGTCCTGCTCGCGGTCCCTCTCCTTTGAGCGATGCCTTGATTCTCTGTGTCTGTGATCACTGCTCCCATGGGACTCGTCTCTGTGATTATGATCCCTGTGAGAATCATAGTGGTCACCGTGGTCATGTGAGTAGTCCTCCTTTGGCTCTACATAAGCTGAATCTCTGCTGTCTTGTGTTTCTGAGTCAAAAGTTTCTTGCCTGTGAAGGCCTCTACCACCACTGCGATGGTTGTGGTGTTGGCTTGAGGAAGAGCGGTGCTGGGACTTCTTGATGGGTTCAACTCGTGCTTCCTCTTCAATTTGTGAACCACTGCGTTCAGGGACCGAATGGTCATTCCTCTGGTCTCCTTGAGATCCCTGCTATCAGAACCAGCAGTAAGTTCATGTACATGAGGTACACACTGAAAAACTTTCTCCAATATCAAATTCAACTAGAAAGTACCATGAAACCAATGAAATTCGAGTACACAACAATCCACTTTGAATCTAAACTAGAAAAAAAACCATTAGAATTCAACTTTTACTGAAAATTCAGTATTATAATACAAACAATTCCTTTCACTCTCATCAGAATGGAGGGTGGCACTTGGGTTATTCTATGACACTTTCACGTCTCTTGTGATGTTTCTGACTATTCCAGTTAGCAGTAAGTGCCACCACCCTCCAAACAAAAAGAGAGCATACGGAAACAAGATAAACCGCAGAAAAATTAGAGAGGACATATCATGCCAGGAAAGGGCAGGTATCAGTTGAGAGTTTACAGATGTCCGCTTGGAAACAGCCACTATGGGAAAGTGATTTTAGTGGGCTGAGGAGGTTGATTACACCGAAGAACCAAAGTACAAAACCTTGGCTCTTTTAGAAAAACTTATTTTTTTAGGAAAAAAAAAAAAGCAATTGAATCTGGTATGAATAAAGTTTGTATTATGATACTAATAGTATCACTGACCTTTTGTTTTCTCAGCAATCATTTCATTTCTTCATGGTAATGAAAAATTAAACTTTGACCTTATAATTTTTAGAGCTTGAGAATATAGACCATTGCCAAGAAAAGCAGGAGGAGAGTGATATTATCACATACAGAATTTCCTAACACACAACTGCTATTAAAAGACTTAAATAAAAATTACCAGGTAATAAACCTACTCTTCACCCGCATAATGCTTTGAAATCACTGCAAAACGAACAAGTGACATTATTTAACTCATCTGGGAGTTTCATTGCATTAACCAGCTTTTGTTGCCAAGCCACAGCCAAAGACTTTTCAAGCTTAATCGCAACAATTTTAAGAAATAGTTTATGTTGAAATTGAATTATCCTTCTCATAAGAGGTGAAGAATGTCAAGACAAAATCATCCCTGCTGGCACAAAATTAAAATAGGTTTTAACAGAGGCATTTGTTTGTGAGACTGCTCTGAATTTACCAAAGTTAGGCTTAAGTTTGCCCTTCTATGTTCAGAGTTGTCTAAAAATAAGGATTGCCTCCAGAAAAGTTCATGAACATATCTTCCTTCTGTCTTCTGGAAAAGAGCTAGAAAATTTTGTCCTTCAGCCACAGATCCTGGAAGGTGGGTTTTCTAGCAACTCAAAAAGTAAAATGACAGGAAATTGGACAGGAAAAAAATCTATATTTCATCAGAAACTTATAAAAAGCAACATATTTCAAATCAGCAATTTGATAAATTTGACAAATTTTAATTTTCCAAGAAAGCATTTTATTCTGTAAACTTTCCAGCAACTAGATGGATTATTCCATGTGTTCCTAATTTGAAAAAAATGGTATAGATGAGAGCAAGGTAACAGGAACAGCAGTCAAATTTCTTGTTTGTTCTTGTTCTCATGATTCTCAAGATGATCCTGATTTGCCAGAAAGGAATGTAGTAATTGTAAACAGGAATAGATGTGTTCAAGGTGAAATGAAATGACTCAACAGAGGTGAACTGTAAACAAAATCAAGTGAAAAGTGAAAGAGTCCAAAGCAGTGCCTGTTTCAATGTGTAAACACAATTTTTATCAGTTCATCACCATGACTGTTTTCAAGGCACATAAATTTGGTATACATATAAAACCCTTTCATTCTCATATGGTCAAATGACACATATGTATGTACCTGTATATGATCAGGACTACTAAAAGCCATCATTGCTGTGGTTTGAGAGCAAATGCAAAATGTGAACCTGCTTTGAACACAGTGCTACTTTTACAAGCTCAGATGCATCTTTTCTGCTATGACGAGTACATGTGAAGGAACATAAAGAATGAATTTAGACAGTACCTGCAATTTCAAAATAGTGTAGGGCCGCTGGATTTTATGGGCAAATTCACTTGCCCATAAATGTTACAGGGACACTTAACAGGTAATGTTTGAATCTGGATTAGAGTCTGGCTTTGTGGTTCATAACCACATTAGGGCTCTGATTTGGATTAGATTCTGCTGTGCTGGAATTTTATGGCCCAGTCTCATAAGGCCTTTTGTCTAAAATGGAGAAAGTTTGAGATAAGCCCATTTCATTATTCAGGCTGTAATTTCAAAGAAGTAGAGGTTCTTAGAAAGAAGTTTAAGGAGTGTTGAAAGAGGAGAGAGAAGTCTGTGTCCACCAAGTGAATTTGCCTTGCTCCCTATTTCCATGCAGTGGTCCCTGATCGCCTGCACCATGTGTGTGTGAGGTTGCTCCAGTCTTTTTGGAATTAGTCAACAATTTCCACATGAGTTTGCTGCAAAGCTCTCCATCAGGTGGACAGGAGGTGTATGGTCTTTGCTGATTTAATTTCAAACAGTCCCAGGAGGCCTCACACCTTCAAGCACCTCGTGCCATGCAACACAGTCAGGATCATTCTATAAAAACACGACTCTGGCAGCTGGCAACACAAATCTTTCTTTACAATGTACACCCAGGACTGAAAAATCACGAAAAACAAGTATGTTTCATGGCAAAGGGGCACTGCATTGCACTTGGGGGAGGATGACTCCAATGCTTTGCAGTGCAGATGTGGCTCCTCCAGGCTAAACAGCTGGTGGTTTGGCCTTTCCCAGCAGAGCAGTCCACAAAAACAGCACAGGCAGAGACTTTAAATTCTCTAAATAGAGGATCTTAACACTGTTGAGAGAATGGGTTATGCCACCATGATAAGGAGATAAAACCATTCCGTGCCAAGACAGTGACTGGCTCAGGTTTTAGATGTCAGCTGAAAATGTATCATAGGAAAATGAAACCAAAACAATGTAAAAGTTCTGTGTTCCATAAGGCACCCCTGTTGATTCACACTTCTGTATTAGTAGACCTACAAACAAACTGTGACACTGCAAATACACTCTCATTTTTAGTCCTTAAAATAAAAATGTTAGTTTGTAAGGAGCACAACATTCAGAAAAGTGTTATTAAAACTCTTGTAATAGTTCCTCCAGAGAACGTGGTTAATAAAATGAGTAAGTGAACTATAAATCCACATCCAAAAGGCATAAAAAAACTTAAGCAAAATAATTAAAAAGTTTACAAAGCAAAAAAAAAAGTTTATCTAGCAAGTCTGCACACAATAAAACTGAATTTCATACTCAGAAATTCTTCCAGCTCACAATTTTTTTCAGGGCGTTTCAGCTCTGAGGACAGAAAAAAAGGCAGAAATGAACTATAGCTTACAGTCTCTTTTCCTGCAACTGCTTTTGAAAGCAAGAGAAGGAGATACCCTTCAAGGTGGCTAAATTTTTCTTGTTAAAGAACAAAACCGTAAAGTCTGTGGTTTTCTAATGGGAAATTCTTTGACACAAAAAATGATTTTGCAAGACCACAACAAAAAACCCCACCATTTTTTTTGTATTTTAATTGGGGTGCAGATACATTTTTTTCTTTGATTTTCTAAAAGGAGGCTTTTTTCTTAGCCAAAGTTATGAATTGCAACTTGCATATGTATGTAACTTATGGGCATATATGGAACTCAGGTAGAAATTTAGATGTATTTAGCCATTATTTTATCTGGGACAGATGTATTATAATCCCCACTGTGATCTTCTCAGCCTCAAGGCAACACTCACTATTTAAGTATCATCTTTAAAGACCTCATTTTATGCCATGCAACAAATATACAAATGAAAGCATCTCCTTATGCTGAGCACCTTAATATAATTATACAAACAAAAAGTTGAAGGAGAATAGAGGGGACATAATATGCCCATATCAGTGGGCACATCAGTGTAGAGGTGGGAATAATGCCTATTTTTCCCAGCTCACTAGACAGCGTTCTCCCTGTTCAGAACATATTGCCTCTCAAGGTCTTTCTGCACAACATGTGCAGCAGGACTCAAGTTTTATGTCAGAGTTTGGCTTGAAGGAAATATGTACTTTTCACAGCAGTGGCCAGTGAATAAAAGAATAAAGGAAACACTAGAAGGGCCACTTTGACCTTGAGACTTTACCAATAGAGTCAGTCATTCTCAGCCTCTACAGCTCTATAGCCTATGGGAAGATTGGAACAGATTTCCCTCCAAAATTTGTGGATCTGCTCTGTACATAACCCAATTTGTCATGTAGGGTCTCTGGGGCTGGGATTTGCCTGTTAGCAATAGTCTGCCCATCAGTCAGAGAGTTACCAGAGGCTGTAATGTGCATAGTATTAGCCCATTTTTATTTCTCTGACTGGGTTACATATGACCAGCTACAAAAATGCTTGTGGCTGGTACACATATTACTGGCACAGTGGGGTCCTGGGCACAATAAAACCTGAAGTATTCCACTTCACATCAACATATGTTTTCAGTCAGGCTGGCTAAGTCCTTGAAATCAAAACCAGCCCCCTGGTCAGTACACAAACACATGCTACTATGAATACAATAGTAATAACAATAGCATGCTTGTGTTTGCCTTTTATATTGAAAATGGTTGAATGTTCACTGAAAAAGCTCTTACTCTATCAACAACAGTGAAAAATATCCAGCATATTCTAGTATCACCCTACCACTGTGCTTTGGAAGAGGAAGAAGTTGACAGAAAAAAAAGAAGAGATAGTATAAAAACTGTACCTGTAAATTAATATTTGGACCTGGGCTAATAGGAAGAGTGGCTGTTGCAAGTGTGCGAGTGAGAAGCTGGTTAGGAGGATTGCTGCTAGGTGGATGTGTAGCCTTCCAGTAGGCTTCCAGATAGTCAGCAAGGTGTTCACAAGCATCTTCAAGCTGGTTCTCATCAAGAATTACATCGAACATTTCCTGATAAAGGAGAGGTTATAGTGAGAATAATCACCAGCTAAAGGGACATCAGCTAGAGACATTGACCACACTTTCCATTCATCAAAAATGAACCACATTTCTAGTACCTGTATTAAGATATTTTACCTTTTTTGTTTGGTTTTGTTGTTGTTGTTTGTTTTTTGTTTTTCTGAATGCAATTGATACAAAAGACAGCAATCATAACTACCAATAATGTTGCTAAAACAAGTCCTCATGACTTCCACTTAGTAATGCACAGTCAATGAAGACATGAAGAAGCAGCTTGAACAAATCTTAAAACTCAAATACACAGAAAGAAGTGTTAAATATTGAAGTATTTAGCTATAGGAAAAAAATGAAACGGCAAGAAAAGGGATCACTCCCTATATCTAGAATAACTAAGAGAACACTAAGACAAACTAAGACAAATAACTAACAACAGTAAGAAACACAAGTAATACAGATACTTCAGTTTCCAAGTGTCATACAAATACTAGGCAAGAGATTAGTCACATGGTCTAATTTTAGGCTTCTGAAGTTAGGAGGTGAGTTTCCTCCATTTCCTCCCTGTTCAGGGAGCCAGAAGGCATCTTTGAGGGCCTGTGCAGGTCTCTGTGAAGGTCACTGAACTGAACCTTCATTTTCTGGTCTCTTACCCATACTCTTGACAGCTGAGTATGCTGGTAGCAATGCATGTCATGTTTAAAAAACAGTTGGGGTCTCATCACCTCTGCTTTATGGTGGAAATTGAGAGAATTTACTTCAGTGCACATCACCAAAAGAACTGCAGAGCTCTCAGGTACCCCTCAGCTCTTTGCCAAAACTGTGACCAAGAACATCAACAGTAGTGGCCATGGTGATATATGCCCCAGGGGAGCTACTGAAACCATTGGCCTTATCCTAAACTACCAGAGATAAAGTGTAGTCACTGAGAGGGTTCAATTTTAGGCCAAAAACACCCTAAAATTGTCAAGTAAAACAAACTATCAGTTTATTGAAGCACTGAATGTATCAGCACACATCCTAATAACTACTTGTGACTAGGACTTTTTTTCTCCCCTGCACCCTTGTGATGAGCCCGGAATCCTCAGGAGGCATTCTGCAAAAAAGCAATAGTGAAGAATGGCCAGAAGAGGGCAAACATTCCTGAAAATTATGTAATAAACCTTGTGCTTGAAAAGAAAGGCACCTTTCAAAGACAGGACATAAATTAACAGTAACTCACGGGAGGACACTGTGCCAGTTTATCAGCTGCCACCATCTGAACATTAAGGTGTTTGGCCTGAGATTTCCCTCGAGATTTTATCAACCTCTGTAAAACCTGTGAAAAGTAAGACATTAATGAAAGTGACCAAGTTCAGACTTCATGTATAACCACTTAAAATGTTTACATTTTAAACTGCTCATTTGAGCAGAGCAAAATCTTAATTTGCTGGCTTCAGGAACATTTCCCATGCTTTTTAATCCAGAATGAGCTAATTTTCATTAACTTCCAGACATCTTTTTGTTACATTCACTAAAAGGTCCCCCTCCTACTTTGCTCTGCTGCTTCTATTTTTTTTTCTAAGTTGAATTTTTTTAATTGATCTCCTGAGTTCTCTTCCCACAAATTCATCCTTTTCTTTCAAATGCCTCTTCGCAAGGTCTGTGCATGGTTTTTTCAAGGAATAAAAGATGTTACAGTTTAGCAATCGTGTGAAAATGTTTCTTTCATTTCTGTATTATTTTGATTCAACAAACCATTAGCATTACTTAACGTGATTGATACTAAAAGTGCAATCCCAACTAAAAAGCCCATTGGAGCTACAGCATCTTTTCCAAAATGGATCTTGGTAACACTAGATCTGAGATACCTTTTTGATTAGTAATACTTCACCATCCAAAGAGAAGCAATAACAATATATAGCCTTTGAACTTGAGTGAAGACATGTGCTTATCTGAACTTAAGACCAAAAAATAAAATTAAAAAAAGACTGAAAGAGCATGAAAGTGACTACAATACTTACTTTAGGAGAAGAAATCTTTACGTATACTATAATGGGAGCCAGAGAGGTTTTGCTTAGTTGAGCTGGGTGGTTAATGGTATCAGCATCAAGCACTACTAACTGCAGTGTCCTTGCTAATTCAAAAATCCGTTCAATTTCACTTTGAACTTCAGCTGCAGAGAAACAGAAAATTAGAGTTACAAAAATGCTAAGAGGTGATTAGTTGGAAGAAATGTAAAAACGTTGTAAACTGGTGTGTTGCTCCTCCTCTGCTTGCAGGAGTTGTTCTCTGTGCATGTCCCTGGCCTGCTACAGTAATGAATGCAACATTAATGAGAGCATTTCATCTCTGGTTTGCTGCCTTGGCAGGCAGCACAGCCTGCCTCTTTCACCTCACTGCTTCCTGCCATTCCAGACTGGAGAGATACTGTTAGTGCCTTCTTACAAAACCTCGGATCATGTATGTAAGAAAAAAAGAGGTATGAATGCCTGCTGCATCAAACAGTAATCTTACTATGCCACAAATTTCCTACATGTAAATAATTTCAGTTCAGACTTTAATCTTAGGCAGTAATGAGTTTGCTCAAACTGGAGTGCCTGAGATAGGCATTAGGAAGTACTGAAGTGCCTATATTAGCAGAAACTCATGTTTTCCCATTTACTTCAACTTATCAAAGCTCTGGAAAACAGTTTCCTTCATATAGTAACCTCAGTAAAAATTTTGATTATTATGTGTAAAACACTTTTTCAGGAGAAATAACTCAATAATCCAAATAATGCTATGGTGTCTTCCTCACAACCCCAGAAGATCTGGAAAGGTGATTTTCCCAGAGAAAAATCTCTTCTTCTGGTAGTCATGCTCCCAGCTCCTCAGCACCCTGATTGGCAGTACTTTTCAGGACAAACCTCTCCAAGACAGATGGGCTGCATCCACTTTCACAAGTGGTGTAGAAACTGTCTTCATTCCCCAATGAAACAAAACTGAATCTTGTAATAGCAAAATCATCCTTGAAATGGAATCACATTTTCCTGCTCAAATTTTGCTATAGGCTGAGAAATTACAGAAGCTGGGTGATTTGTGCAAGTCTGCAAAGAAAGTCATCAGGTAGACAAGGCAGTAATTCATAAAGGTTTCCCTTTAAAGGTCGTGCACGCTCCATGAACCAAAATCAGATTAGATATCTTGCCCATTCAAGGTAAATATTAGAAGAAACCAACAGAAACTTAAAGGTCAATAAGAGATACCAAAAACTTAATAGAGAGTTTCTTGAAATTACAGCCTTTTATCCATTGTACTGGCAAAAGCTTTACTTTTGCTTGGAAACACAATCTATGTGATTAGAGAGGGTCTCTTTCAAGACATGTGAAGAGATCGATTTTTGATATCTTAGAATAGCAACTGAATAAATCAGGTACCATAATAAGGCTGCAAAATTTCCAAGAGAGAGCAAGGCATCCCAGCTAGTTTAAGCTCAGTGTTTTGGTTCCAGATCAATAGGTGACTGCTATGGTCATTTTATAAATGAAGTAACCTCTAAATGGTCACCAGAAAAATCTATATATGATATCCTTTATTGGAGGAGGTTGACATTGTTTTGGATCTATTAGAGGTCACTTCCAAATGTTTGTAGTTATCTCCAGTTTTAGGTGAGTACATGCCAATCAGTCATTTACAACAGCAAACATCGTGAGGTGTGCATGGCATATGGAGAGCATTAGTGAATGCTTTTCTGCTGGTCAATGAAAACACTGTGGCCCAGCTGCTGTCTAAATTAGGACCACATTTTTTAAGGGAGAACTGATGGTTCTTGGCACATTCATGATTACATTTTCTGCAACTTTGCTGTGTAGAGATACTGCTGAAGTCACTGAACACTGTTGTCTCAGAGTTTTGGTAGAAGATAGTCAATAATCTATGCCTAATTTAAGTCCAAATGACAACTAGAATAAACATATCAGAGATAACTTGTCATGTTGTTCTGATGACAAGTTTTGATTCCTTTCCTGCAATTTCAAACCAGGCTCAACACTTCAGTCAGTATAACAGTATCAGTTAATGTATCATTTTAAGACCATTCCAGACTGCTAAAAAACCCTTGTTCAAGACAATTTATAACCAGCAAAATCTGCCTCTATGCCATTGTATCATAATTTTTTCTGGGATAGCAGTATTTGCTACACTGCTGGAAGCACTTTTCTGCCACTATAGAACACATCTCTGTGAACTAGATTTCCTGATATACTTTTTGAATCACCCTTTGCCAGAGCATGCCTCAGGATATGTTCTATTGTGAAATATACCCAGGGCAATAACTGCAGGTAACTATGGCTCTATGAACCAATAGTTTCCACTTGAATCTGAAGATGGAGAGATATCTTTTTCATTGACTAAAAAGTATTTCAGTACTTATTTTTCTAAACTTGAATGTAGGAGAGAAGGTCAAGGAACTACACTGCGTGATTGGTGAACTGATATATGTGCCTCTATTCTCCACTCAAGAATGGATGGGAAAAATGCCAGAGACTGATGAAGAGGTCCCTATCTCCTGTTCCTTAGAGCACTTCTTCAGCATCTGGAAAAGCTTTCATTTCACTTGAAATCTTCTTTGAATTCTAGCTTTACACATAAGATTGTGCCAATCACTTTCATAATAGGAGCTTCTCTTTTTAGATGACAAAGACTTTATCTACTGCTATAGCTTTGGTTTTCATCTTTCTTTAGTAACATCTCTCAAAAACCTAATTCTATACCCATAGATTCCTTCACAACAAGACACTCAACACAAATCTTCTCTCAGATGTTTGCCCAAAGTAAGCAAAGAACTCGAAATGTCATCTGGGGATAGTAACACAAATGTCACTGATAGTTAAAATAGGGAGCTGAGAACAGTGACAGAGGGGTATCTTCACAGCAGCACAGCAATAGCTTTGCAATCTTCCCACCTCCATGAATACTGTCTATTTAGAATAATGTCCCTTCTTATCTACTGGAGAGGCATAACTGAACTTATAACATTAAACTCCAATAAATTGTATTTGCAAATCATGAGAGGCATAAAAATAATTAGATCTACTATGACAACCATCGTGAAATGCTGGCAGCCCAGCTACAACACTCAAACCCAGAAATTAGCTATCAAATTTTAAAGTCACCCTTACAATCTATTTCATATGGCCTCCTTAGTAACCAGAAAGTAAACATATTTTAAATGACAGGAGCATGTAACTAATTATCCCATACAACTCTAAGAAACAGTAAGTACACATCTCCCAGACATCTTTAAATATGGCACATTTAAACTTCTTTCCAAATATTAATTCTCAATATCCTTACTGCACCTTGAAATGAAACTCAGTGCAATGAGAGCACTAGTAAAGGGCTTGTCCCATTATGGGGGCAGACAAATATTCTTTACACCAGGTGGACCTTACAAGTGAATTTCAAGCAAAAGTCTTTAACAGTTCATTACAATAATCTCACCTGAAGTAAAGGCAAAGACACAACAACACTGCATTTTATCTATGTCAATTCACTAATAACATGGTGAACTATGGTGGAATTTAGAGTCACTTATATAATGCCATGGTAAAAGAACATTCTCTATGCTCCACAGTTAGAGAAACACAACCCTCCTTCAGACTTGGGCTGAAAGCATCCATAGCAGCCAGGAGTCACTGGGACACAGCTTGACAGAGCAGTGGCTATGTCAGCACTTTGTTTTAGGAAGACCCTGATGAGATGGAAGTTTCGTGACAGGGACAAGACACAAAATGGACATGCTTCTGGCCTGCAAAGGCCAAATTAGAACCACAAAATATTGCTTAAAAGCAGCAAAGAGACTTTGGTCTTCACAAGGAGCAGTGAGGTTCACAAACTGTCAACTGTGCACAGTATGACTTTTATATCCTATTTAATTTGACCTTGGCTACTGTCTGTGGTATCAGTGGCTCTGTTTTGTTCATAGAAACAGATATGTAAATTATTGCTTTGATTGCAACAGCTACAGAGACAAAGCATTCTAGTTTTTTAAATGTGGCTCCTGATACTACAAACATACGGCATGAAAAGAACTCACCTAAGTCAACATATGCCGTATAAAATGATTAGCAGCACCTTGCACAAAGGGCTTTCAAATAATTTCGTAAATTAAGGAGAACAGCATCAGTTGCCATGATTTTTCTTATACTAAGTCTTTTATACAAACACAATTGCTTGAAAATAACTAATTACTAAATTCCATGAATATAATTAGAATAATGAGAAGTTTAAGGCAACCTCTCAAATTCACAATCAAGGCAAAAGAAAGAAAGGTGGTTTTTATTCCCAGTGCCTTAAAAGCATGTAGATTGTCTTGCACCAAAAAAAAAAATGCTGAGAAATGAATAAAGGTCATATCTGAAATCCAAGAAAATGAAAATGAAAAAAAAAAAAAGGAAGCGATAACTATTGGGCTGAGCCCACACAAGTCTCAGTTAAGAAGAAAATCATGAGCTTGACTGACAGAATTAAAATTTTAAATTTTAATTTTTGAACGTGTGTGTATACAAGGTTATATTGAGTGAAAAATCACAAGAGTGTCTACATTAGGTATTGCTGTAAACCAGAATGCCACAGCAGGCTACCCTGGACTGCACTAGATATTTGTGCTCACTGTATACAAAGTGAGGAGGCCAAGAAGCTACCAAGGGTAATCCAGTAAACTACATAGTGTTTGAGTAGACCAGAGCAAGCTAATAAGAAACCCCACACGTACATAAGTGTTTGACCTCTTCCTTCTCATCTTCATCTTTCCTCCCCTCAAGCACCATGCTGCTCTGGGCAGGTAGGGAGCTAACAGAGGGGTCATACTGGGTAGGGGACAGAGGGTTTCTCTCCTTCCCCAGCCAGGGAGGTTCAGTCCTGCAGTCTGCAGGCAGGACTGTGTTTCCCACTCCACATTGTGGGGGCGTCCCAGTGCTGGGGAGCAGAAAGCTGCAGCCTACACTGCAGTGTACCCAGCTAAGAAGGAAAAAGTCTTGGAAAACATAAGCAAGTAAGAGAGAATAAATGCTTCAGCTTAGTCCTCAGGCAATTTGTCAAAAGATACCTGGATTACAGGTGTTTTAATCAAATTTCTAACACAAATGTAGTTTAGTGAATATGCTTTCATTTCCCTGATCTCCACCAAATACCTTAGCCACTAGCTTGCTATGTAAAAAATGGAAGGTGGAAGTGGGAGGATGACAATATTTTCCAGGAAAAGTGGCTGCATGTGTTACTCATGCCTAACAGATGGGGCTCCTGCGAGGGATAAGGCAGAAAGGAGAGAAGCATGTCTGCTGCTCTGCTTGGCACTCCCGTCTGGGCTCTGCTGAAGGGGAGATGTGGGGTGAGGTGCTGCAGGAAAATAGGGTTTTCCTCTTCCTGCCTGCTGAGGCTCAGTTTAGGCAGAATTCAGATGGCTTTTAATGCACACACATGTCCAAGTGGTATTGACAGATACAATGCCATGTTTGGGAACTTCAGCATAATCAACATCTATTTATAATGAACTAACATCTCCTGAAATGCAATACTATAATTATGTGAAAATATAAAACAGATAGTGTCATTTAAAAATGCTAAATAGCACATAAAAATATCTACATCCTCCCCTATTTCTCTGGGCTAGCAAAACAATAGCATTCATGGAATGATTCTTGTGCCAAGTTTAAACTGGAAGTAAATTTTAACAGCCTATGACTGGAAAAGATTGAAATCAGCAGATTGCAGCTGAAATAAGTGGTTGAGCACTGCACAGGGGAGAGCTGCACTGAGATGGAGATGACTGTGCCAGGCAAAAGTGGAGCAGCTCCAGAAGGTGCCATGCAGTACCATAGCACGGCTCCCATCATTAGGCTTCCCTACACTCTGTTAAGGAGTAATTGGGATAGTAAAACTGGGCAAAGAAGTAGTCTAAAATTTATATTGCCCAGGGGACCAAGCAAGTCTCTCTGCCTAGTTCAGAAGGGATATCATCACATCAGGCTGGCACTAACTTGGGTATTTTTGTCCTGTGCCTCATTACTCAGTGCAGTGCTACAGACTTTTACAGCTCTGGTACATACATAGGCACTAAGTAAGTGTTCCCTAGGTCTGTTGTTTTTTTACAGAACAAACATAAATAAAAATGTTCAACATTTCTCACAGATAGAATATGGAACTACTCTATCACTGGCTATTCAACCCCTCCTGCTGATGGTGTGCCACTCGCAAAACATTTGCGTAGTCACTGAGTGGGAGAGATACTGACTCTGCAGCCTGATGCTTAGAGTGGGAGGCAAAACACATGGATTCCAGTTCCTTCTCCAGGGAAAGTTTAATTATTATGCAAAGTGCGTACGACTCAGCAGGACCAACCAACAACCATCCTAAAGGTGATCATAGCCCTGTCATGGGGATGGAAATTATGAGTTCATACCAGAGAACAGGAGTGAACCCAGACTTCTTTGCATTCTGGTTAAACAACTCAGGCCCATAATCTTGGATAAAATGAGGATAGAGACACCAACTTTTAATCAGTTGGTGAGCCCAGGAGAAAGAAAAAAAACCTGTATCCATTCAGCCTACAGTGTGATTAGTTTTAAGACATGCAAATTGTACTCTGCTTTTAAGCAAACAGCTAACTGGCTAAAAATATTGGTTTTTATATTGATATCTGTAACCTTAAAAATTATTCTAATACATTGTATATTCCTTTGTCTCTTGCATGTTTTGTTTCAATATAATTACCAATTACACGTATTTCTGTGAAGTATTATGATAAAATATAGGAACATGTTGCTGGGAGTTATCTCTAATTTACAGAAATTAAGATTTTTTCCACCCATATATCATGGGATCATAGAATCAACCGGGTTGGAAAGGACCTCTGAGATCAAGTCTAACCCTTGATCCATTGAAAACACTCAGGAAATTTCATTAAAATACTTTGTCAATATTGTATCAAAAACTTATTTGCAAGTTATAATATTGGAAAGTTAGGACCAAACTTCTAATCCAGAACTACCTAAAGAATTCATTAAGGAAACTCTGACCATATATGTTAAGAAAATATTGGCTGGCCTAGCAGGATAAAAGAGCATTTTGGGACATGTGAAACTGATAAATTATAACCGGTTCAGGAACTTCATGCTACTCTTTCCCCATTTGTGTGCAAATAGAAGTGTAGCTACATCTTCAGGAAAACCCCAAACCTCTTATCTGCTATATTAATTACAGCATTCTGGTTTAAGGCAGGTTTAGGTTTAACAGACTAAAATATCTGAAGATTTCATGCCTGAAAGTGAGAGTTATGGACATTTGTCCCAGCTACCTTGAAGATAAAATTAAAAAAGGAACCATCAGGATTTTCCACAACACACTGAACACCTTTTCTGTTTCCTTTAACTATATTAGATCCTGGAACACACTCTTGGTTAAATCCCAGTTTTGCATTCCTGTTTCCTGGCCTCTGGAAGTAAGGAGGGATTTTTATGAGGCCTAGCTAGCACTCTTTTAAGTTTATCTTTGATTTATAGTTGGGGAAGCATTTACTTCAAACAACTGTCATTAAATTACCAAACATGGAGAAGACATAATAACATTTCATATATGGATATAATATATAGTGTGTATTCATACATATATATAGAAACAAAACAAATAAATTGTTACCATGGTTTCAAGCATTCAACTGACTTTTTACACAAATATCAAGAAAATAAAAATATGAGGCTGAAATTTGCACAGGTAATCCACTACTATTTCTTCAAGCATTTATATTTCATTTTCAGAAGACAAAACGTTGGAATATCAACCTAATGATGTAAATGGGAGCTATATATGTTTTCTATAGACAACTTTCCAAAGGTTGGCACTCAATTGCACATGCAAACTGTATGTAATTGCACATGTAATGCCTGACAGGTTATTGCATGTGCACAGAGAAAGCAAATAAACAGATTCCCAGGCATGTGACCGCAATTGATTTAACACATACAGGATGACATATTTTACATCAACATTCATACATCTGTGTCAGAATATGCAGATTAGGTGCACATACCTTAGAAGTATACAGTAGAATACCTAATCTTTAGCGTTTACTTGTCAATGTCAACTCTATTTTTAGAATTACTTGAAAATAAATAAGGAAAACCAGCAAGGTTTTGTAAAAGAAAGACTTAGCAACACAGTACAGGATCAGCTTTTGTCTATCCGTGAGCCAGATGCAAGAAACACACAGTGGTTCTGTGAGGTACAATAAAGCACTGAACACAAAACAGCAGGAAAAGTAATTTGCAAGCTTGTATACATACCTAAAACATCTGGAAAAGGAGAGCATTAATGAAGCAAAGAATGGAAAAAGCCAAGACAATCAGGTTTTGTACGAAGCATACAGCATGAGGTAAGGTTATAACAAGTGTAACATACACAGAAAAAGGTTTGGGTTCTTTTGACAAAGAAATGCAGCAAAAGCACAAAGCTGGTTCAGCAGTTTCTGCAAATGGCATGTATCCATATAAAAATTTAACTAAGCCAACTGGGGCTGATTTTCAGGTGAATGAGATTTAACCATGTACTGTACCTTGTTGGAGAAAAAAATTCTGTTCAAAATGACAGATTTCTTCCAGGTTTTTAAAGAAATTAATCATTTGCCCTTTCCTTAAATTTAGTTCTAGCATCTCACATGTTAAACATGTATTGACAAGCAAACATTTCTCTTTATATACAAAACAATTTTTCACACAGGAGAGGAATAAGACTGTACTGTCCTCCTAAATCTTTACAAGTCAAACAGTATTTTTTAAAAATTCTTGATAACATTAATTTTGTACTAGATATGCAGTGGTAGCATTGGTTTCCAATGATTCAAATCCCAAGTCTATTTTTAACTGATTCCATTACAAAAGCAAACTGTCAGTCGATAGGTGTATGTAGCATTAAGCTGATTGAGACTACCCTATAATCCTGTATATCCAGTTCCTCATGGCTATTCCTACTCCTGGTTATCACACTGTTTGTCTCTGCCTCTTTGAAATTAATTCTGGGTTATCTATTAAATCAGTTCCAAATAATAGTGCTCACTTCACTGTTTTCTGTGCTATCTACAATTATGAACAATATACACAATATCACAGATCTACATTGGGTGATAAGGTAACAGTTCTCAAAAAGAGGTTTATTTATTTCTCAGAAAAAAAGTATTTGGTATTAATATATCAAGCACATTACCTTTGTAACATATTAAGTAATTGACAGAACACTTATTAAAATAATACTTAAAACCCAACAATATATTTTCAAAAGTCTAAGAAATAGCCTTCTCTGCTGCAGTTAAACTGCTGGTCACAAAAGTGAGCATAAGTGAGGGATAAATCAGTGGCCTGGCTGTCTAGCTGTGTGAGGTACCACTTCACAAAGGTGGGTGAGTAAAGGAATAGTTTCCCATTGAATCTGGAAGGAGGGAGGGATTTGGATTAACATAAAGCAGTTCTGGGGAGCTGTATTTGCTATAATAAACAGCCACTGAAAAGAAGCCATTGAGTAATTTAATTTCTCTTCATTGTCAAATATGTGTTTCAGATCTCATTTAGAACACATGGTTCTAATCTTTCTCTGAAAAGTGAATGAATAAACTATTTATGGGCTACTTTATGGAACTTACTGTGGTGGTACTTCATTGACGAAATAAAACAATTTTTCACTTTGAAACATCCTGGTTAGGTGAGAAGCTGGAATTATTCATATTTTCCAGGTAGAAAATTGAATTACAAAGAATAATCAGAGGTTATGAATAATTTGGGGGGATTCCATTTCAGAAATGGAAATCCTGATTTCTGGGGATTCTTTCTTCCAAAATGGAACATAACCTTGAAGCTTCTCAATCATCATGATTCTGTTCATTCCATGACTGGGTGACCTCCATCCTTATTACCAATTTTCAGTTCTATTCAAAACAAGTGACACTTCATATTTTCAGTAGATTATTAAACAGACTTTGGTTACAAGACTGAAATTCACATAAAAGAATATTTTTGTGTGTAAAGATATTAATTATGTTGTTACAGTACATTGCATTTTGCTATTTGAAAACACTTAAAATAAGATACTCCTGGAAGCTAACAGACTACTTGCAAGCAAAAATACAGACTCCACATAGCTGAGAGCAAAGGTTTTAAGAAGTAAATTTTCAAGAAAGGGAGGTAAAACTTTTTAAGGCAGAGAAGCTTTTTCTGAGAAGGACAACTATATTAGGCAAGCGTTAAATATTCAGTCACGGCACAGGTGGAGTCAGAAATTTTTTTGTAACAAAACTGATAAAGAATCCACTTAATAGGATGAATGAAGTTTTCAAGATACAATACTGTGTTTGGGGGAAACCAAGCTCTCTCGAAGAGTACTAAGAGGAACCTGCAGCAATGTAAAGGCAGAAGAATGACTAGAGCATTCACCTGTGATCTAGCAAGTTCCTCTTTTTTTTGTATTTGACTGGGGAATTGAACAGGACTTTTTAGGGGACTTGTGTCCCATATCTCAGCTGGGTGCCCTAACACAAGTATATAGACTCCTAGCAGAATTCATCTTATATTCCTAGAACAGTTCAAGTTGGAAGGAACCTTAAAGATAGATCATCTAGCTCCAACCTCACTGCATGGGCAGAGAACCTTCCACTATACCTTCTAGCTAGCTCCAGGTGTCTCTACACAGGACATGCACTAGTGGTAGCAGCAGAGTCCTGGATATAAAAGACCTCACACTATAAGATCAGTCAGGAATTACGACTCTGAAGTGTCCACCTTTTCCTCTTTGCTCTAAGGACACCTTATGATGACAAGCTCCAATGGAGACACCTGTATTGCAGATGGTAACATTTAGTTACAACTTCCCAGCTAAGCTTGTTTTTTTTTCTGGCTAATAAATGTTTAATTATTTATACAACTGGACAAGCTTCACTACAAAATGACTCATGTAAGATGACAGACTTGTATGCTATGAACCTGGCTATACAGTTTTTAAGAAACATTTAAAAAATATTTTAAAAATACTTTTGCATCCTTCTTTTTTTGTACCAACCTCAGGATTAGTTTAAACTGATACAAAATTCATAAAATGTGTACCTCAATAACGTTTTTCAGGCCTCATATCAGTAGTTGTCATTACTAATAATCTTATCAAAGACAATGCACAATATAAATAACATCCATATAATTCCAAGTATTTGAAAACTGTTACTTTTTTTGAACTGGAAGAACATGTCTTCAGATTTTATATGGATGGTTACTTCTCCCCATCAAGGCAAACAGCAAAACATTGAAACTGAGCATAAGCAGGATAAACAAAAATCAGGACTTCATGAAGTTTGCATGGTAGTGATTTTAAAATGATTTCTAGTGGCAGGATTTCTGGATTATGGGAACTGTGATTTTCTCACAGCAGAGAGAAGGCTATTTTTAGCTTACACATATGAATTGAGAGTCATATACTTTACAGGCAATTTGCAGATAGCATCATTATAGGTACTTACCTAAGCTTGATCTCGTGTTGGATCGCTCTATTATCGCGTGCTTACTGGGATTGTTTAACACTGAGCGTTTGGCAAGCGAGATGTCTGCTGTGACTCGTGTAATTGATATACTGCAACAATAAAGACAGTAAGATAGTACAGAATGTTACTTATCTTTCGGGGATATGGGGAGAATTCTCATTTAACACTAGAAGATGGTTAAGACCATAGGAAAATTACTTCTTCTCAGAAGAACAGTAGGCTTCCCATAATGGGAACAGAGAAAAAACTTTGTCTAACTGATACTGCTACAAGAACTATTGATAAGACATTATCCTTCTGTACAGTCCTGAAATGCAGTATGACCACTGCCTGCAAAGCTACACATGCCTGAGGAGAGGGGAAGCAGGAGAAGGTCAGAGGTGTGCTGCAGAAGATGGGACTTCCCTGGAGTGCCTGGGTCCGATGAGTCTGTGCAAAGTCTGACTTTGCACAACTATGCCCAGTATGAAAAGGCTGGTTTCTCTTTTACCCAATTTCTTGAATGGTACTGAATGACAACCTGGCATATTTTAGCCATACGTATAAGACATATAGGGATTAAATGGTAAAGGTAAGTCTTAGCAGGGAAACTAATACATCAATATAATCTATTTATTTATTTAAATTTTATTGTTCAGTTTACTAGCATGTGTTTTTTAACAGAGTGTAAGAGTTACCTATGATTTTCCAGAAAGATCCAGCAATATGCTGGCCACCTAAAAATGGGAAGCGTAACACAGAGAAACATGTACTTGAAAACTGGCACGCTCAGTTTTGTGTTTACGAGGAAAGATGGGCCAAGAAAGAAGTGGTTACTTTCAGTTTGCTACATAACCTTCTACATATTCTTCATCCTAGGAAAACAGTTACTTTGGTTTGTTTCACATTACAGGGTCAAAATATACTCTTAAGTTCCCTTTCAAATTCTGGTCTAATGAGGTTCAGAGGTCACATTTTTCCAGTGCTGAAAGTTAAATCAGACTGATGATATTCCCTTGTTCTTCCTTGTAGGATTTTACTTGCAACTGAAAAGGAGGAAATGGATTTGCTAAGAACAGGGAGGGCTCCTCTCTAGCAAGTACTGTCAGATGCTGCTTGTTCATACGGAATGTAATACAATAGGTCATTTCCCAGTGAGCTTAACATGTGTATACACTTATCTAAAACCCTAAAAAACTACTAATTACAGATTAGTAATGAAATTTTAGAAATTTAGACATGATTTAACTTAAACTAAAAACGTAACCAAAGATTGTGATTTCTGGTACAGCTCCTCACAGATAATGCCATTTGTCTTAAAAATAAATCAAACTCATATTGGGGTAGTCATCAGTTATCTTTATTTGTTAATGGATATACACTAGAAACTTCTACAACTTTTTGGGTTTTTGGTTTGATTTGGATTTTTTTCCTGCCAGTCTTCCTTCCTATATGTAATAGAAATTTTTTGTCCTTTTTAAATACAATTATGGTATATTGAACCAAGTCAGATTTATCAGTCTATTTTTCTATCTATGAAAAATGCTATTTTTCATTTTAACGTCTTTCTAAGGTCATTTTAATGTCTTTTGAGACACGTTTCACCAGAATGACCAAGTCTGCTCTCAAAACAAAGGACACGTATGTTCATATTGCGAGACAATTGCAATGACAGCAGGGACAGCAGTGTGGCAGCTGAAAGCAGTAGTATGAATCTAAGAACCTCCTGTACAAATTTGTTCAGGACCTTGATTACCAATTCAGATTGCTAATAAAGTTTGGGATGATTCAAATCTGCTATTGTATTCAGAGTATTTGTGGATTCACCCTGCCTCAATTAGATCTACAAATGAAAATCAGAAATTCTCTAAAATACCTAAAGACATAAAAATACAGTTTTTTTTTTTTTGCTTGCAACAACCACTGTTTTGTTAACTTCCAGTCCTGAAGGTATGCGTTTAAGATTTGATGACCCTGAATAACATAAAGAAGGATTTATAAGTTGTGAGGTATCAACATCATTATTCTGACTGAGAAAGTCCAACGGCTTAAACAACAATGCTCTGCATTTTAAAGAGCTGAAGCTATTGACAAAAAACCTCAAGCTCCCTCTTCTAAGTTTTGACTGGACAGATAGAAGAGTGTTACTGATCTGTCCACTTCCAAACTAAATAGAAAGTTACAGATATTATAACACTTTCCTGTTCTTTCAATTTTCCCCCTACAATGTCAACCCATTAGTGCATATTAATCTGTAGCTTGATCCAGTCACAAAAAACATGTGGAAAATGCACCTGATGTCTCTGGTCCATGGATCTGTGATGTTTGAGCTACAGATCATGCTACTGCTTTTAGAGGCAGATTATCATTTGACATCTGTACTCCAGTAATGTCTGAGGGCTCAAACACAAATCTGAGTGGACCTTGCCTAGTCTGCTGCCACAGCGCTCAGATCAGAACCCAGCGAGTGCAGCTCGTCTGCTACCAAGGGTGACCATATTTCAGCAAAGTGGGGGACTGCCTTACCCCTGCACCCCAGTCCTTCTGAAACTTCCCACTACAGAGCCCAGAAGTACTGTCAAACCAAGATCCTATCTTGAGGGATCAAATTTGGATTTGACAATCCCATATATTAGATAGTCAGAATCTCATAACACTCTTTCCAAGTTTGATGCCAAGTAAAGAATTAGAGCTAAGGAGAAATGGTGGCTCTTGTCATTTTGCTCAGAACCTGAGAAGCACTGATGAGGTATCACTTGAAAAATATATAAAATAACTTTTTAATTTGTAGATAAATATCTAGCAATTTGGAGTGTGAATGTTGCAGTCATCAAGGAGACATCCTTTTTTCCACTCAAATATAAGCCCCTGAACACTTCCCACTGCCACACAACCTCTGCATGTTCTGCCAAGGAAACTTTCAATACACACTAGAGTCCACTTATCAAGGAATTATCCATCATTCTTGATTTTCTACAATGTCATAATTTCTTAAAATCCTGGTAGTACCTAAACAGAACTTGAACTGAAGTATATTTGCACTGCCAAGTACTTACCGCCCTTCGAATCTATGTTTTAAAAAATCAAATAATGCTTTTTGCATCATATCTGTTACCTAGAAGCAAACAAACAAAGAATTAATAATCATATAGGAAATTCATAATACTTGATGCTAATAATATTATATAATAAAGCTGACAGTAAATCATATCTGAACAACAGGATCGGAATGCAATGTATCCTTCATCTCAATTGTGACAGGAAGTAAAATACAAATAAGGGACTATTTACTAGGAGTAAAAACTGTCTAGATATTTGCCTATGATATAAAATATCAAATACAAATGAAGCACAGTATTTTGGCAAATAAAACATTCTCAACAATCAATTACCTCATATCCCTTCAGAGAAGGCCCCACTAAAACTACTGGTCGCATAGAAGGCACTACATCATAAGGAGGGATGTGCTCTGTCTGCAAAACAGATAAAGTTTTCAGTGTCACAGCACCTAGAGAAAGTTTATACACTGTTTATAACATTAGGAACTATGAATTTCCAGCGATGTCACCAACACAGGAATATCCTTTAATTAACTTTTCCCAAAAACTTGTAGCACAAGATAAGGACATAGGAGGTTCAGGGATTTGTTTTGAAAAAGTTTTTTTGGACTTTAGGTTTTCCCACTGTTTTCACATTTGCTCTGGATAGTTACAAAACTCTATTTCTGGGACATGCATATGTTCCTTTGCATAACTCTTAACTGGTAAATTGAAAAGGTTATTTCCAACAGCTAATGATTTGAAATGATTGACTCTAGAGATGTGACATCTGTTTCCCACAAAAATTTTATGTAGGAAAATGATGAAAGGGAAAAATAAAACAAAATGGGATGGAAAAAGCATAACACATCTCTTTTTTTAATGTTCAGATCTGCCCACTGCTTGACAAAACATTGTGACATCACTGCAAATTCCCACGGCAGCACTCATAATCTGACATCCACATTTGCATCCATGATTCAGTTGCAAAATGAAACCAAAATAATGACTGATTAAGTTAGTACTTCTAGAAAATTATCATAAACAGAGCTTGGGATAGCAATTCTTCCACTGTGGGAAGTTCCTGTCACTACCCAAGAATGGATTCTGTTAGTACAATATTTATCAAAGTACTTACTGATGTATCATGCACAATTTCTAAAAAGTATTTTAAAGTACAAAGATAAAAAGATTACTTCCTTCCAAAGATTGCAAAGGTTTTATATTGTTATCATAATGCAATAGAAACAAATTAAACTGTTGGTTTGGGGTTTTTTTTTCTTTGTTAATAAATGACTATTTCAACATATAACAATCATCAAGAATGGGTCTTATCAGAAAAAGTTTTTTGTTCATATGGGAAGTTTTGGTTTATCTTCGGGAAAACATGATTGAAATCCAAATCCAGAAACATTTGAGTGATATGGAAAAAGGAATGCTGGATCTATTTTTCTAATGCTTACATAGTACAAATACATCAGTCAAGATAACAGAATACAGACACTGTTCATTGTTCTAGTACTCAATGTATCCCAAGGTGTTTCACAATAACATTAAAATAAGTATATACATTCCAAAACACAAACCCACAAAGACAGACATTAGTACAGTGACAGCACACGGTGCTACACAAGCAGCAGTCTAAAGCAGTCTAAAACATAGAAAATATTTTTGTGAATGTTCTTTAACATAATTTATTTTGGTTTTTGTTACCTGTAGTTTCACCAAATAATTAGTAACATAAGAATGAATACCAGTGCCCAAGGCATCATAAGCATGTGAAATGGATTTATTTTACACAGCACAGAAACTGACTCAACACATTTCAAAGCAAACCCCTGCAATTAAGGTGTGCCAGTATCAAAATGCAATCCTCCACTGTTCTTGCTAACATTATTAATAATCTGGTAAGTGTATTAGAGACAGATTCAATGAAAAATTCTTTACAGATATGCAAGTGCTTATAGAATGAGTGTCCTGATGCAACAGATCTTTGTCTTAATGTGACTAACTCAACTGAAGGCATACATGCTAGAAGTTAACCAGCTATTTGACAGTTAGGGCAGGCATAGAAATTACCTTATTTGATGGAATATGAATTATTCTTAAAATCTATTCTGTCAAAATGGGCATATTTTTTCTCTGATCTTTAAAGCTTGAAATAATGAAGCTCTCAGCAGAAAATTGAGTAAGAGTTATCTAATGGAAGCATTAAAGTTCTTTAATTTAGCATTAGAGAATCTAATGTCAGTGAGCTATACAGTTTTCACTGCAGATTTAAGTTCAAATATGAACTCATACTGAAAACCAGCAGTTTTGACACTATGGCTTTTGCTCAGTGGTTTGACTATGTAGATTAATTTGAAATGCCCACCCAGTACTTAATGTAAGTGTCAGTATCACAAACCTCTCTATATCCAGTAATGATTCTGATATGGAAGAAAAGAGGCACCACAGAGTAGAAGAAAGAGATGTGACTAACCACCATCCAGGTCTAAGGTGGTTCATCTAGAAGATGAACCTTTGAAAGATGCTTATGCAGACAGCATCCAATACATGTCAACATGTATTATTCTTCCTTATCACTTTTATGTGGTTATAAATATGATTAAGTAAGAAATTACTCAGAAACAAGAAACTGCTGTTGATTTCCACACCGGGCATAACAGACCCTACTGAAGCCAATGATCATAACTTTGGAAATGAGAAGGATTCAATATTATTTAAAAGAGTTCAAGAAAAAAAGAGAGACAGAAACAAAGATCTGTTTACTAAACATGAAAGCATCCACGGCAGGGACAACAATGTCACTTGGCACTATTTATAGGCACTATAACAGTCTGCTATTACCTGTAGATTTAAATGAATGGTTAAAAACAAGTGAATAAGAGCTATGAAGTCTAAAGGTTCTAAAACAAAAAAAGTAGAAATATGGTATTTCACTGCATAGTTTGGCTGCTACCTAATGTCTTGCCAACTTATTCCAGCAAAGATCCTAGAAATGTATTGCAGCTTGTTGTAACACAATGCCAATTGCATAATTCTTTAGTTATCTGGGTTATCTATGGAGAGACATTGGCTCTTCTGGAAACGACCAGTGCCATTTCCAATAGTTGAGATACTAAAAAGGTCTGACTGATGGGTGACAAGAACATTTGGCCAATAATTTATACATGACAACAGGAAAAACTCAAAGTAAACTGTCAAAACAAGTCTGAGGTTTTCCACTGGTCTTGTGTACCTGCAGATTTTGCACTTAGTGAAGTGGAAGCTTAAATATGGACTAAACTAAAAATACAACAATTTTGATTATTCATTTTCTAAGTACAAACTGAGTATCTGATAGACTCCAATAATGATTTCAATAGACTGAGAAATAAAAAAAAATATAATTGAGAAAGATATAGAAAGAATAAAGAGGCACTAGAGAGGTGAATTATATAGATTTTCTAGAAATAATTTTCTCAAACTTTCAGAAGGTCTTTCAAATGTGTTCTATTATTCCATCTAAAAGGATAAGTACTGTAGCAGAGTTTCACAGATACACTGAACTCTTGCCTGTTTTCTTGTACTGAATCCACTAACAGCTCAATACACCTCTTCCTCCTTAATTCTAGAATAGCTGCATTGTTAATCTGGAGTAACAATGCTAATGATGCCAGTGGCAGGATAAACACAGGCAATGTCAATATAAACTTACCGATTTCTGCTTCTGCTTAGCTACAGCAGCATGGAAAAGAAACAAAGAACAACAAAGCATGCATGTTATTGGCTTGTCAAAGGACGCAGACAGTTAACAGGACTAGAAATGTGACGCAGTGCAGGTGAGCAGGTGGACAGATGGGAGCTTGGAAGTCGGTGTTACCTTCTTAAAGAAGGGCATTCTTTTCTCTTTGGAGTGGGGTGATGTTACACTGTTTGCACTGGGTTTGGGGGAGCGATGGTTTGCTGGAATATCATTTTCTTCTGCATCTAAGCCAGTGGCATCTATGTCTATAGCTACATACAGACAAACAATTCAGAATTATCAGATGACAGGGAAAGTAAAGATAGGTTAAAAAAGGAAATTACGGGTAAAGAGAAATAAAACTGTCCAGAGTAATAAATAAATAAAAACTAAAAACCAACCATGAGAACAAAACACAATAAAACAAAGGGAATAATTTAAAGGTGCAGGACATTAGGATTAGAAGACAGAAAGTGATCTGTAACAGCTATTGTAACATTTACAAAATAGACCAATGGCCAAGTTTGTTCTTCTTACACCAGTGTAAATCCAAAGTAGTTCACTGGAATAGATAAGACTTTCACCAGTGTAAACAACAGAACTTGGTCAAAACATTTGGATTGTTTTATAGCAATGAACCCTAGTTCAAAATGGGGATCATCAACTGAAATTTGAAATGTCACTCCCATGTCTATAGGAAAAGAAGAAACAGCAGAAAAATCACTTTTGAAGACAAAATCATCCTGATATTGGTACAATAATATCTACATTTATCACAGGGTGGACCACAATTGGCATTTTCAACCCCTTTAACTAAAAATGCATTGTATTTATAAGACACATTTATTAGGAATAATTAAATTTGATCTACTAATAGTGAAAACTAAAATGAATGGGTAGCAGAAGAGCAGAAATTTATCCCAGCTTGACTCAGGGACATGGATCCCGTTGTAAAGAGTGAGGATGTAGACAGGGCAAAATGGAAGCAAATACAATAAACCACTGCTGTTCAACCTCTACCCCAAAAGAATATACGTCAAAAACAATACTTATAATGTAACTATGAATAGTTTACCCTATTTAGCAAGTAAATAGTAACAGTTTCAATAAAAATCATCACAGACTCAGTAATAAATATAGTATCAAGATGCAAAGCCATGTTATCCTGAATGCTGAGTCCAACAGATACCTGCCAACTACACGTAAAGCAAAACAAAAAAAACCAAAAGGTTTCTTGTTTACTAGGATCAATTCTGATATTAAGCAGTGATTTAAATTTGTCTTCAGAAAGCAGGTAGATGCACAAAAGTGAACCAGAAGTGTGCTGTACAACATCACTCTTGTGTGTGAAGATTTTACCCACCTTTTAACACACTAGGGTAACACAGGTTTATCTTGCCATGCCATTATGTCAAACTGAATCTAACACTAAATAGATCTGTAAGCAGAATCGTTTGCATTGACTTTATCCAAACCCTTAATTAATCATTGCAAACTATTATGAAACCATCTTAGTGACCTGCTTTCATCTGCTTGACGAGTGGGACATCAACTAACACAGTGGCATGTGGTATTAAATTATGTAACAAATAAATATTTCTGTCAAGCCTACATGCAGCTACTGATTTAAGAGACAACTGGAACAGTGATTTCTTTTGTTTGCATAAAGTATATTTTCCCATTTGAATTATCCACATATCCCTGAGTCACTGTGCCTTTGAGCTCGCCCTTCCCAGGAAAGCCGGTGTGTAGATCCACATCCTGTTTCTATAATCCTGCTCCTAAAAACAGCCACAGAAGCCACGTAACATTTTCTTCTAGCAACACTGTTCCTTCATCCTCTTCATAAGTATAAAAAGAACATATTATCTTTTCTTGAACACAGGCCAGCACAGATGCTGTAAATCACTCATAATAAGGCATATTAAAACTCCTTCACTATGTTCAACTAAAATTGTCAGTAAAGAGAAATCAGAGTTGTTAAGCTTTTCCTGTAAAAAAGAAATGCAGAACTTGATCAGCTAGATAGCAATATCTCCTTTTCTCATTCTCAGTCTTCACACTATGTACATTCTTCCGTGACAGTTCTTTTGCTGTTAATTATCTTTATTTCACTGTTTTTTCAAAAGTCATTTTCACCATTATGATCACTCAGTTTGGTGGCCTACAAGGACTGTATGAATTGATTACTATATCAATATAATATTGATTATTTAAATCGATATGAGCCTCCCTTTCATTTGTTTTTCACTGGGTCTTAGTCCTGTTTGTGGGTTTGATTTGATTTGTTTTTTTCTGTGGTACTATTTTATACTGAAAAAAACCATCCCTGACTCAAGGTTAAAAAATGAAATTAACTTGTTCAGTTAATATTCTTCAACTCATTAAATAAATTATGTGTTTGCAACTGTACTTTCAAAAAGAGGAGGTTTTGGAATGATAATTGAATTGTACTTCAAAATCACTTGAGTTCTTGTGTTAGTCACAAACTTTGTCTCTTTCGCCTTTTTTAGGATGTCTTAAGATAAGCAAAAAAATATTGTAGACTCAAAACCTTACGATCACAGAATCAGCTAATGTGCACTATTCATATCAATCTTCCAAATCTTCAATGTAACTGAATAAATTTTACCAGATTTCCTTCTTTCTCCAGAAAACCATGATTTTGAAAACTACCACCTGAAGAAACAGCTCAATGCAATGAAAATTACAGGATGGCTAGCAGTCAGCTGGTGACATAGGTGTGCTATCTGTTCTCTTACCTCTAAATTCTGGGCAACATTCTGGAAATATAAGTACTGATCTTCAAGTGGGTTTTGGATAGAAAACAATATTACAGCATTTCAGATGTTTTAACTATAAAATTACAATATAGGTCCAAAATAGACAATTTTACTAAAAAAATGCAATTGTTGAAAAAGTTGGCCTTAACAGTAAACATATCAATTTAAAGTCATCATAAAACGGAAGATTAAGGTGTAGTCTACCCACTTGTGATGGACACACATTAATAAACTAAAAAAATATTTTCAAAACAAAGAGAACTTAAGTGAAGCTGGAGTTTTGATAAACAAACTGCAATCATAATAAAGTTGGTTGTTACAAACAAATTCATGGTTTCACAAGAAAGACAGAAATATTTTTCAGTTCATTTAATCAAATGAAGCTACTAACATAACATAATTGAATTCTTCTGTCTCTGTTTTAATGTCCATGTATATTCCCTAAAATCTTCAGCCTGATTTTAAGACACCTGCTCAGTAGGCCAGGCTATGTATAAATGAATATGACTGGAAAATACATCTTTGCCCCAGCAGACAAGTCACTAGTAACATTCATTAGTATCTTCTGCTTTCAGGTATTCAAAATGTACATGCAAAGATAAAACATCCAGCAATGCAGCAGCTGAACTGAATAGAATTTTTTTTCTGTTGTAATCTGCTACGCTTTTTTCAAGGAGCTAATGCCAGCTTTCTCCACGAACTCGCCATGTATTTGCTTCATACCTCTTGAATCCAACCCACCTGAAGTTAAATCTATCTGTTGATGCTCTAAACGCAAAACAGTATTTGTGAAAAATTTGTCGAAGAAGGCAAAAAAATATCCAGTATCCTAGAATTATGTGAAGAACATTCTCAGAATTGTGAAACCGGAAGTTCCTGATGTTTTAAAAGACTGTCTTTCTTGATGCTACTGCAGAAACCTTTCAAGAATTTTCATTTTTATTGCTGCTTCTTCTCCTGTACCAGAAGGTATTTATTGTTTAGCAGGAGTGCTTTAACTATCCTACTGTAATGTAATCTCACCAATTTATTATGGTTTTGCTATAAAACTCCATGGTAGAAGCAAAGAGGGAATATTGTGCCTGTCACTGCCTGAACTTGCTGGCATTGACTCCATTACTTCAAGTCTACCCAAACCAGCCTTACATGCTAGTGCAACACTACGGTTCTACCTATGAAGGATAGGGAATAAGAAAAATAGAACTAAATCTATATCAATTTTAACAGATTAGGTCGATTGGCCTGTAAACCAAAGGGTTTACAACCTACTCACCAGATGATGGAGGCGTCGATTTTCTGGAACTAGGAACGATGTCACCCAAACTGGATGAAGAGTTTCCTCCTGATTTACTGAAGTAAAGTAACAAATTAGTTTGAAGTTCTGTAGCTTTCTCAGTATTTATTCTAGTTTATTTATTACCTGCCTTCTAAATGAGGTGTTAACTGTGAGACAAACAGCAGTTCTGGCAGTGGTATAAAATATACATCTCGCACAAAATGCACGTACTGAGGACTGAGGAAATGCAAACATCAATCATGCTCCTTGTGCTCCTGTGCAATGTATTTTGGTGCTCTCACTACTTCATGATCTTAATGTAATCCAGTTATTAATATGGCTACTGGTATATAATTATTAATATTATAATCCATTACTAAGACTAATTCTTAAGCCAGTAAGCATATCTGTTTCCTTTGACTGAAGAGTTATTGATAAATCCCTATGAAGATGTGACTGTGTTTGTCTACCTTTTTTCAATTTAATTGAAGTACAAATTCTTTTTGCTTTCTCAATACAAGATAGCACCTAGGAACAAAAAGTCTCTCAAAGTTAAAGCAGTCTAGGGTTTTGTCATGTTCCGCTTTGTGAAAACCTACTCAAGTTATGAAAATCAAACAATACTTTTAGTCATTTATTTCAGTTACCATAACGAGAAAAGTCCTGAAAAGTATGTAAGGAAGCCTACTTCACTCTTCAAATAATTCATGTGATAGTTCTAGTTTCCACTTTCTCTATTTTAAAATATTAATAAGCATAAAGTTAATGCCTTTGTGGTGTAGGACAATGTTATCTTCAGTGAGAAGTTCTGGAGAATTTGGAAAGGGACCAAATCACTGGGACAGATCTGGGTGTATCAGAAGTGTCCCAGGAGGAATAAGGACCCCAGCACGCTTCTGCTGAGGACAGCACACGCATGGGAAAGGCATTTCACAGCTGGCAAATGCAGCTGAGTGCTGCGGAATCGTGGTGTCCTCCTAACACAGACATGCTCTTCGAACACTCCAGCCCTTCCTGTTGAGGATGGGCATTTTTGGAAAGCATTTTTGGCTTCCCAAATTGTTTCTAGTCCAGTTCAAGGTCTGTCCCACTCAGATACACTGAAAATATTTGTTTCCTATATACCTACAGGTTAACAATTGGTATTTGCTTCTACATGTGTTACTGGAAAGCTACTTTATTAAGAATTCTACAGCAAAGATGGCATTATTATTATCTTGCGGTATTGTTCAATACATAGATACTGACTCTTTTTCTTATGCAATGATGGTTGCAGTCAGACATAACAAATTACTTGACATGACATTTTCATCATAAAATGTAGTGGTTTTAAAAGCTGTATTTGTAGGCAATGAATTTGACAAGACCATTTTTTCCCCTAAGAACTAATGGGCACTGGCTTTGGCTTACAAATAAATTCATCTTAACATTTTCTCTAATTTATAAAACGAGCTTTAAAACGACTTATAAATAGCAAGATCATGAAAACAAGTAACAAATGCTACAGAATTTAGATAAATTATTTTTTAAGTCAAAAATTGTGCATGTACATTGTAAATGTACGAACTGAAAGTTATATTAGCAAATACTTTATGAAAAAAATGGACCAACTTCCATTGTAGGCCACCACAGATCAACAATTTAAATATCTACTTTTTCTCTAAAATAGCAACGACATTAAGTGTCTTATGAATTAATATTTTAACATTTAAAATATGTTATATATTCTATAATAACATATAACCAATTATATATTAATTCCTTCATTATTTCAAAGTGCTTGTAACTGCCATTTACGATAATTAATCATACATATGAACAATACACAGCACTAATTTCCAAGTTGTTTCACAGACAATGCTACTATTTTTAATGATTTCTTGTTATTACCTGGAGTAGAATTTTCCTTGTTTTGCCTTTTGTTCATGCTGCAGCCTCATGTTTTCTAGTTTGACTGGACTTGGTATGAATCCTATTTCACAGCCTTCTTTTACCAATCGTCCTATCCACCAGTCATTATTAAATTTCTACAGATTAGAAAAAAAAAGAAAAGAAAAAAGTAACATACTGAGAAATTACTAGATCTGGGATAATTTTGTTATTAGTTTTAATTTGCAGCTATGCCATTTTTTTTTAATTCTTCCCTGCACTTAATCACTCTGCTATGCTATTACGGCAGTGAAGAATTGTGGTAACATTCAGAAATACATTAAAATAGTTATTCCTTTTAAATTATTAAAATCCACAGTGCTTAAGCAGAAACCTTCCTTCATAGACTTTATGTTTCTTTCTGGTTTTTGTTTCCACCCATTTCACCATCTTTATTTTTTCTTGCTTCCCAGTATTTTTCCCTCATACAGGAAAGTTGCTTTTGTTTTCCCTTCATGGTTCTCCTTGGAGAACATCAGAGACTTCTTCTGATCTACTCTGACCTACTGCTACAATTTTTATGACTCTGTAATAATCTATTGGTTTTACTCCATTATATTCAGTTCCCTATTCAAATTAAAAAATACTGCTTCTCAAACTCCCCCACTCCTCCAAAGTCACCAAAATCTTCTGAAATATGACCAAATTCTGCTGTTCATATATGCTCTACTGCATATAGCTCATGTGATCTGCATCATAAACTATGATAGATCCAGAAGGAATGGATATCTTTAGATAACTAAAAAACCCTTACAATTATACAAATCCACAAGTAGTCCAATTAACTGAATTTCAGCTCTATGTAATATGAGATAATGACTACTCTAATTCAATACATTTATTCATACACACATAAGGGGGTTGGGGAGGAGGTTTTTTATTTTTCAGAGGTCTGAAGAGCAAAACTATTTCCTTTTTCCATTATTATTTATTCACCATTTTTGGATGAGAATAGGTCACCCTTTTATATGGCCCCACATGCAATACTCTCAGTGTTCCATAGTAATAACTACCACCAAATATGAATTTTAGATAATTTGGATTATTTATGAAACTGCAGAAGAACATCTGAATGTGAAAAAAGTTGCCTTCTTGAATTTGAAGCTCTTAATGTAAATATTATAGTGCTTTTTTAATTATTTATTAAGTAGCTTTAATAAGTGTACAGTTAGGAATAAAATGTAAAATGTGTGGGCTCCCACACAAAGGAATTAATTTCACCATGAATACATCATTGGTGGATCATTGATACACAACCTAAATTGCGGTATTATCTTTCATTTTGGCAACTATAGAAATCTTGTGAGGTTTGAAACCAACTGTAAGATATTTAGCTCACAAAAAAAATAGAGATTAAAATAAAAGCACTTTTAAGCACATAATATATAAGGAGATCTGTAATATTCATCCAATGGGATGCCTTTATGAGTAAGAACACCAGCATTTGATAGGGAGCTAATCTGGAATAGCAGTTTCTCAAAGATGTATTAGACTGAAACATATTATTAAAATTATAACCTTTCATTGCAAAATGCTAACTAAATCATCAACTTGGTAAAAGGAGGAGACAGATAATTAAAAACCACCATTAAATTACAATTTGAACAGCCGCTATTATTTTATGCTGTCCTACAGTACAACAGATTACTACATAACAACGTTAATTTTTATTTGAAGTTATAGAAATGTTAAATACATAGAAATTTTTTCTTCATATAAAAATAAGAGCATGTGGAATTCACTTTTGCAAAGTCTCAAAGCTAAATGCTGTGTCAGTATATGAAAAGAAATATAAGATACTTTTATAAGTAGATAATACCATACATAATACTTCCTAATTTTAAAAAGTAACAATGGAAATCTTGGTAGTGAGGTGTCCAGCTCCCAAAGTGCTGGCCAGGGTGAGTGATTTTCTGTAATTCACCTGCGCTTGGAGTGCCAAGGGAAACACAAAGTATGAATTAAATGCAAAGCAAAATTATGACCATGAATTCAAGCCTCAAAATATTCAGAAGTGACCATGACGAAGCACACATCTCTTCATGCAGGAAGGAATCCTTCATCTTTATGTCCACTTAGTTTTAATGAATGTAACCTAATAATGAAAATAAATTTCCCTCATACATAATCACTGCAATACTTTTCACCATTGTCCATGTACATTTTGAACTGAGTTTTTTCTTTCTTGAGCCCTCTCAGCCGCAGAAATTAGTGAACAGTCCTCAGGGACAAGAAGAGGACAGCATTGGTCCAGTATGGCATCATTACACAGGCAAAACTTATTGGACATTAACTCAGGTTTCTTTATTTCTAGCGACAAGTTAGGTATAAAATATAAAAGCAATACTTCATTTTATTGTCACATATGTTTTTTTATTTTTAATCTGCATAAATCATTGAAGTTTGGACATTTCAGTTCTCCCAGCATTAACTATAGGGAGCACCAAAACTACTGAAGGAGCAATATCTGTTGGGATACAGAGCCCTGAAGAGCGGCAGGACATGGCCATGGAAGATGGAGGGGGAGGACAGAACTATGCAGGAAAGGGGCTGCTGCTTGGAGCACCCTTCTGGGGAGGTTCAACCCATCCAGACACAACAGCTGCTGCCAAACATGGAACCAGAGAGTCCAAGTCTGACTTCTTGCAGATCCTTCCCTGCTTTTCCGTTCCAGTGGTGCACCTGGACCCGGTCACAGGGTCCCGTTCCCAGCCCATCTCTGGCCTAGCACTGCTAGGCAGCCAACCTTCCTTGACAGCTTAGAGAGAAAACCAGGCGGTTTTAAAGGCTATTCGCACAGAGTGCCTCTTCTATTACACCTGAGACTGCAACAACATTTTAATCTATTTTTCCATCTCTCAGTGCTACATGTGGCCACAGATATTACAACTCAGCTAAGCTAAGCTTCCTTTCAAGGTATTTTTGGAGATTCAGAAAAGTTCAGAGAAATTTTTTATCCTGATGCTCTCCCAGGTGTCTGTACATCTGAGACTAAGTTGTGCTGTGAGGAAAAAAGCATAAACTTTAACACAAAACTGCTAACACTGTGTTTCTGGTTCATATGGAAACAGAGAAAACACTTGATGTAAAGTCTGAGATTACCACTTCATCTGAAGTAAGATGGAATAGATGACTACAGAAAATCATTTGATCTAACCAAACTGAGCCATATTTTCCAGTGCTTCAAGACTCACTGGAGAATGATGATGGTTTTCTTTTGCCAGAACTCTGTGCCTTCTCATCTCTACTTCTATTATAGGACAGAACAGAGCAATTCTTTCACACTACTATCAGACAGAAAACATATTTCCTTCACTATATACAATCTGAACCAAAAGTATCCCCTTTTTGCATGTTTACTATACATGGAAAATTTTGACCATTAGTCATCAGTATGAAGGCACTAGAAGTCCGTTTCTTGTGTTTCTGTAGTCTCTGTCCACCTGTATTTCTACCTCTGTATTAGGAATGTTTCTTGCTTCTGCAAGGCACTTGCACTACCAGAATCACTGTGCATCATCTATCATAACTATTGAGGGATTTTTTGATAGTCTAAAATGGGGCAAAGCCATAATTTCACATGCATGGTTAGGATGCTATCAACCTTAAGTTAACTTTCTAGTTCTTTAGTTATAAATTTCCATTTCCAGATAGACCATTTTGAAACAAAACCCAATGGAACATGAATAGAAGCTGGGAACCTCAAACAATGAGGGAATGATTCAGAAGGCAGTGGCACGCTGCAGAGGAGGGCCTGCATGGTAAAGTTACCAAGTTATTTCTTTGGGATTGTCTTGCAAGGAGCAAAGAAATAAAATTACTCTTGGTGTTTGAAAATGTTAAAATTCAAACTTTTCAAAGCCAAACTACAGGAAAAGAAAGCCAATGCAGCAAACTCAAAGCACCTTTTATGAAAGTTGCTATCATCTTGAAACATCATACCAGTTCTCCAGCATGTAACTTAAAATATTGTCTGTGCCAGGGAATTAACTTCAAAGAAAAAAAAAGAGACCTGAGGATTTTGGAGTTAACTGAGATGCAATCACACAAACAAAAGAGAAGAAACCCTGGACTGTTGAATCACAATGAACCCTCATAGTACTAGGTTAGAAAAAAACCACAAATATTTTATCTTTGAATAGTCAGACACACACTTTTAAAGCTATAAATAAGGGACTTTTACTAGACAAGAAAAGTGCTTGCTTTCTGAACTTCATTAATTTGATTTTAAGGAATTTGTGTCTTTGCTTGTAGGAGGATAGCATTTAAAAGAACATTCAATTCCTGATATACTGTTACCTTATTTAAATAACATTTGAAAAGTGCTTTAACAATGTGAAGTGTTATCAGCATTGTGAAATAGTAACACTGTTACTCAAATATACCCTTAAAGAGAGATTCACTTACTCCTCTGGTTTTACTTACTTCTTTAACATGAAGAAAATCTTTAGCCTCAAATGAGATGGCCATGCCTGGGACTGGAACATCGTCATCATGAGCTGCACTGTACCCAACATTTGTCCGAACTGCAAATGCAACAGGTTTTGACTGCAAAAGAAAAGATAAACAGCCTGAAGACTTCCCTTGCGAACATATATTTATTTACAAACATATACACAAACATATACACAGAAAAATTCTGTAAGTTGTCCTTTTAAAATCATAATAGTTACAGAGAACTCTCATTGCATCCATGCAAAACATAAAGAAGAATCACGTTTACTGATACCAGTTATTTAATATCAACACATTTCATAGAATACAGAGTTTTAGAAAGTGATAGAGCTCTGAATTAATTTGAGTAAGTCAAGTCAGTAATTAGAAACTACAATTCAGTTGGTGATCCATATAATATGCTTAGTTTGCAGTTCTGCTTGGAGTTCTGTGCTTGGGCCTGCCATAAGAGGTAGGGTTCCAAGAGCTACAAAGCCTACAGCCCCAGGGACACTGGGGCTGAAAAAGGCATGCCAAGGGGAGCACAGCATTGCACCATGTTGTTCCCTCCATACCTTTCTTTTCTGGGCCCCCACGTGCTGGTCACTTGAGCCTCATTGCTAAGGCTGCCATTAGTGAAGCCCTCTCAGCCTCAGCCCTCATGTACTGTTCAGGGAAAATACAAATTTGGAGAAGAGGTGCCAGCAGCTGTTAGTGACCCCTATGCAAGTCATCTCACTGCAAGCCATTCTTGGAGCACAGCAATGTGCCCCAAGATTGTCATGTCATAATTAAATACCAACCACAGAGAGATTTGCTCATTCTCATAATTCTTTCTATAACTTTTACTGCTACATCAGTGAGTTTAGAGGATTTTCCCAAGTTTTGTTTTCAAGAAGTAGTTGCTGGAAAAGTCAGCGCCCCCAATGGCCCCCAGCCCTGCCTTCCACCTTCTCCTTCCAAGTACCACTGGTGTTGAACACTTTTCTGCACAGGTATGGTAATAAAAGCTGCCGTCCAGATCAGCTCAGATTGTACCTATGGAGGGCTTCCTCCTCTCAAAGGTACAACCAGAATACAGGAGAACTTATTCTGCTTTATTCTATGCTAAACACCACCTTGACCTTGGTCTCCCAACAAAGGATATCACACAGTATCCCTAGGACCCACCATTGTCCTACCCTAGGCTAAACCTTCAGCCCATCCCAGAATTCTCCACACCACACTTATTATCTAGTCTGAAGTGCCTATACATTAAAGCTGGTAAAACATTCTTTAAAATGTTGAACTAAGTCTCAGAGGTGCTCACAAGTGATTGAGGAAGGCATGACATAACTCTTCATCTTAAAATATAGTAAAACTTCTACTAGACGACAATTTTAGCTTTATTAGTTGGTATCCATCATCACTTCAGCTTGGCAAAAAGTATGGTATTTTGCTGAGCTGACAAGCAAAAAAATAAATCTCATTTCCTATGTAAGGAATTTCTTCCCTTTCTTCTCAACGTAGAAGTTATGAAAATGCACCCCCTACTTCATGACAGCAAACATGAATACCCGAAAACAAAAATCATTCTCTATTTTTCTGATTACTAAAAATCCCTGCCTGCTCTACCCACGATTACTCACATGGTGCCAGAGAACGGAGACCTGCCACAGTAAAATACCTTATAAAATAATGAGGGAGATACATAAATAATTCTAAAGGCAGGATGATGCCACCTAGCCTGGAAAGGACAGTTGGAAATAAATGGAGAGAAGGATCCCTTTATTGCTTCATTTAGGTCTAATGTGCTGTAAAACCCACAGGGTCCCAATAAAGCAGACTTTAAAACTCCTTAAATAGGCCTGTATTTGAATGAACTACCACAAACAGACAATTACATCTATGAGCACATTCTAGGAAGGCTTTCTAATTTAGAAAGCTCTTTCATAACAGTGGGGTCAAGAGAGTCTCTGTGTCCTGCAGAAGTGAATCAGTGAAAAAAATCTTAAGAATCTTAGGAAAGATTCGGGTAGAAGGGCTCTAAAAACTGAAAGTGTCACCACTACATTAATCGTTGGACTCAATGATCATAGAGGATTTTTCCATCCATGATGATTCTATGATTCTATGATTTAAACAGACACTTATTTAAACCAGAAAGCCAATGGTAGATTAAAAAATGAATTACAGGTGAATATATTTACAGGTTGAAATAACACATCTCAAGCGTTGACTATCTCTCTTGCTGCTTAACCACAAATAGAACATTGCAAATAGTCAATGGCTTTTTTTTCCAGGTAACCTGTTCTAGGAAAAAAATTAATTAAAAAAAATTAGAGTAATACATGAAACACAATAATGAAATAAACAGACAATAATTTTTAAAGTCTGTTTTCTTCCATCAAGGAAAATCCTATTGCTGTTGAAACATGCTCCGTATGTTACTCAATGGATATAGGTTATATAAACAACTTGATTATATTTTTACCATGCAAGAGAAAAAAAGTTCAAATCACAAATAATATTTTTAAAAATATGTTTATACAACAGATAGACCAATCAGATTTACCCATTAACAGAAAAAAAAAGTAGAAAAACATATAACAAAAGGCAACTGGTTTAGATGAGTTTAGTAGATGTATTTATTAGCTATCATACTATGTTAGAAGATGATAGCCATAGTTTATATATATATATATATATACACATATATAAAAATATATGTAATATATATATATATACACATATATATATGAATATATATAAACACAATAAAAAACTAAGAGCTGTCTTAGCTCATTGTGTTGGGCATCTTTCTCATACCCTGATCTTTTCCAGTGTGTTGCAAAAGGAGTTTAGGCACTTAACACAAATTTCTGGACATCAGTATAAGAGAAAGGTATGTAAACAATAAATCCTTGGTGAGTTAACCTTGTTGTAACCAGATAAACTGTTAGAAGGGCACCATGATATGATTATGCATTCATGATTACATTTCTGAAAATGGGCATTTATGAAAGTGATCATCCAAAAATAAATTTTGGTGATTTCTCCACATCAATTAAAAAATCTTGCATTGTTGATGCAACAGGTATGTCCACTTCCTAGCAACTCAAATTTGTCTTATTCATCTCCTTTACAATTCTCTCACTATTACTACCGCTCATTTACCTTACCTAAAAGATACCAAACTACTATAGAACTAGACATGCCACAAAGAAGTTGTCACACAGGCACTGAATTCAGCAATATCACGTATCTTCCTTAAAAATAAAAGATAGCATAAGTTACTGGTTTTTAATATTCACACAAAACCCGAAAACCTTCCTGAATGTAAAAATTACAGACCAACAGAGGTGATGCTTTCTATGCTATTACAAATTTCAACACTGAAAATACAGATATCAATAAGCATTAAATTGTCAAATGTTCTAAACAATTCTTAGTATCAAATAGTACCTCATCAAATAAATAATTTGGTGTTATTAAGAAAGATAATTTTGTAAAGCATAGGAAACTGTCATTGTAGAAATTTATCTCAGAACAAGAACTGAAATATTGCAGAACAATCTGTGCCTAACACTGATAGTAGGGACACTATGCTTGCTTATCCATTCTCACAATTTCTGTATCCTCTAGCAAATATAAAAAATTGCTCAAGTGTTGTTACTTACTCCTAATAGTATCAGTGGATGAAAGACTTTAGGCTGACTACTGACTTTAAAATCTTTGCAGCATTGCAACAAATAGACATCTTCAGTAAGTTAGTGTCCTTGACATACTTCTTAGAAGTGATCTAAAATTTCCTGTTAGAAGACAACACCTGGTTATCCAAGAAAAAGAATAAAATAGAAACTACTCCAGAACTATCTTAATATGAAAAAAAAGTAACAGGTAAAACTCCTCTGTCATTTTCTGCCATCAAAAAATTAATTTCTATGAGTAGAAAAACAAAACAGAACATTGAGCTACAGATATTCCCAGAAATGGAATGTCCCATTTTAGATACTTGTCATACTGGTAGAAAGGGAGACTGAATTATCATGGGATTAGACTACAATACTTCATCTAATTGAATATTTAAAACTAATTAATTTATAGAAGTTAAATTCTAGTCTTTTTACATAAATAAATAATTCTGAAGTTTTCCCAGAACTGTCAAATTAACTAGTTTTCCTGAACTACATTGTCTTGAACTAAAAAAGTTCAGTTGTTACGTAATTAGGGTCTGATGAAAAAGAAGTAATTTTTTTTCACATATGCATATGTATACTTTAAAATATATCTAGAATTTGGTTACATATCCTACAGTTCTAAAATTAGATTGGGTCAAAACAGTTAAGCACTTTCTGTTCATTCTCTAAATTTATATGAAAATGCGATGACAGTTTAGCACTCAGTTAATCCACAGACTGGACTACAAGGACAGATGCTCTGAGATGTTAAACAGTTTAACATTTCATGTCTCTCTAGAGAAACGAAGTAGCCTGGAGAAGTTCATATATCTTCAGAATGAACACTTCCACTTTGTTTTTCTTTTTTTCTCCTGTAAAAGTAAAACATTCAACAGACTGAATAAACCCGCAAGGAGAACAACCAGACATGAACATTACCATCACCTGTATCACTAGGGTAGCAGGGAAGACACTCTGGAATGGGGTTCTTCATGAACCAGTTTCAGCTTCCAATTTAAACTCAGAATATAAATCAACAAAATTGCATTCACCAACTGTTAAACCATCTTTGGCTTACACTTTGACAACCAACACAAATTAAAGTGAGTCTAGAGTGACCTTAGTCAATTTAATCTTTTTCTATCTGGATCTCACTTCTTCCTTTACAAGTTATATTTACTTTATACATCTTCATACTAACCTCATTACTAAGTCCATGCTATTTGCAATATTATTATACTTTATTACTTATGTTCTCTCACTCTTGTGTTATGACTAACTCATATTGAATGCATACACAAGCATTTGCACATTGTACCTGTCTCAGTCAATTTGTCAGTTTAAACAACTTTGCACCTGCTTGGTTGAATTTGTATTTGAGAAATATTTCATTCAACAGCACAGCAAAATAATACAATCTCTTTTCTAGCAATGTACTTAAAACATAACAGGATC